GCTGACGGTGTTCATTATACCCTCATGACCACGATTGTGACTGAGAGTGGCATGGACGTAGCGAGGTCTTTGTCAGCGTACGAAGAGTGTGGTTGGTGTGGAACATGGTACGCATAGTCGCGATTTTGCGCGAACTGAGAGCAGTGGCGGCGCCAAGAGGGGGCAAGGGGGGGGGGCGTTTGCCCCCACATAAATCTGGTCTGCCCTCTGTTTGCCCCCCCCCCCCATAATTTTGGAAAATAAAAAAAAATTATTTGTGATATGTTTCGGTAATCAATACCTTCTACGGTGATTAAATCCCACATCCCCAATCAGTCATAGACTTGCATGTTGTAGAGTCTCAGTGATTTCTTACCAAGCCCATCCTGCTGTAAACCTACTATAAACAATAACACGTGAACCACTTGAGAAGTGCTTTTTACGATCCTCAAAGTTTTTATGTATATAGGTTCAAAGCGGCGAGAATATGCATTCACTTGATACACTCACTCCGTTCGTTTGACATTTCCCTTGAGGTTCGCAGGTCCGTTCATTTGACACTTTCCTCTCTTGGGTCGGATAGCTTAGTGATCAGGCGACAGATGGTATCTGATCAGCTCTATCTCGACAATCGGTGCCTAAATACTGTCAGACAGGTCCCCCATACCCTCCCTACTTTGGCGCTCGTGAGTGGGTTTCGGTCGTTTGACTCTTTATCTCAACGATCAGTGCCTGAAATACTGCCAGACTGCATTCCCGGCAGTATGTTTTTCTAAAAATTTCTGGGGGAGGCCCCCCTACCCGTAGTTGAAGCTCGTGCTTTTGCCTCCTTAACCTTGGACTTTGCCCCAGCTTTGCCCCCCCCCCCCCAACCACCGGCAGCTGGCGCCGCCACTGACTGAGAGTGTAGTTGCCTTCACACTTGAAGGTGTCTGCATTTCACCTCGACATCACTACGCTCTATAGAATTTTTGCGCTTAGTTAGTGCGTAACGAGGTCTTCGTTATGTTTGAAGGGGCTATAACCCATGTTTTGTAAGAATATAGAAAGAGACCCTCTTTAACTTAGGCTAAAGGGATAACCTTCCTTAGATTTAAATAACTGATTTCGAATAAAAAAATAAATGGTTGGCCAACACAGGGCAACTGGACATTGGTGACACTTGAATGCCGAACAATATGAGACTGTAGTAAATTTGCAAAAATGAAATGAAATGGTTTTGAACATCTTAGGATGCTTTCCTGCATCAAGGCGGACAGACGCTATGCAGTGCTATTGAGGGAAATCTTGTCCAGCATCTTTAATGTGCTACTAATGATATACCTCGGTTTACCGTTCCATATGTATACCCGAATAATAATGAACTCGTGTGATACTCAAAGATGGTGTTTTGTATTGTCTCGTTATCTTTCGCTGACCTTTCTTAATAAGTTCAGGTATCAAAACAAGACAATAAAAGCTAAAACTATTAAATTTAATAGACGGTATAAATGGTATTTGTATAGAGATGTACGAATACCAATCATAAAATCACATTTATGTATATTCGATTTAGAAAGTCCAAAATATGTATTACATCAATCTAATTTCAATGCATATTACGGCAAATCGAATTTGTTTTTTGGTTTTTTTTACAAACAGGCAGAGATCTCTATGATTTTATACAGAAATGAAATGAAATGGGGTTTAACGTCCTACTGTTCTGCTCCTATACTGGGCTAATGAAGACGGACATACGCCATACAAGTGTGCTATGAGGGAAATTTTGCCCGGACAGCGGCACTATCGACTACTCTTATATCGAATTCCAACTGCCAGGGGATCTTTTACGTGCATTCCAATATATACACGGGACCTCGGTTTTTCGTCTCATCCGAAAGGACTAGGCAGCTGTCCTTGTCAGGCCCTCCGTTCTGCACCACTGACAAGGGGAAACCAGCGTCTTAACCAACTAGCCACCGTGGCTCCCTATGATTTTATACAACTGTATGTCTCTTTAAATATAATTTATGTCAATTATGTGGTGTATCATTGTTTTGGGTTTTTGTTATTGTTGGACCTTGTACTATTATGATAATCCATTGACATAACCGTTTTTTCTCGTTAACAAATTTATGTTTATTGTATTATTCTGTCGGGGGGGGGGGGTGTTCTCGGGGGTGCTGTAATATTAAAGGACAATGTATATCTATTTTTTATGGACGAAAATTTTTTTCGCGGTGGGGGGGGGGCTTCGCCCCTTTCTTACGGGCCTGTATTCTGTACCATTGTTTGTTTTTTTTATTGTTTTTATTGTTGGACCTTGTACTATTGATAATTGATTAAATTAATCAATTTCTACTAAACAAATTTATCCCCATTGTATTTACGGAGACGTGGCAGTGCATGTGTGCTTATGCAACAGTTAAGCGAAATCAAAGACGATTTTCTGAGGTGGATTACGTGACGTTGCTCTGAGGTGGTGCAGGTGTGTATCTAAGGTGGGGGTTCAAGGGGGGCATTTTGTTGGAACAAACAAACGTGCGAACCATTAATGCCATTTTGACTCACTCCACTCGCCTGTGTATGTATGTAACTACACGGCCAGGAACATTCACATCACACTGAGCTTTCTGGGTTCTCTGGACTATTTCACCAGCAAAGGAAATATACTATATATTGGCTCCGAAATAATATATACCTTTTTAGGCTGGACCTCTCCCACCATCGCCAAACATACTCCCGTGAAAAGAAAAATGGAGGAAACAAAAAACGGCTATAACGTTGTGTAATTTAATGTAATAATCATTTTACATCCCCGAGGCTTTCTACCTCCCCCATAAATGTCTAAACGAAACGTCATATGTCGTACACCAATCATGTAACTCCATTCTGGACAGATACATAAATATTAAATTGTTGAAATGGAATAAAATGGGGTTTTATGTCCTACTCCAAATGTCGGGGTTGCTTTTATGCGCATGACAATGTGTACACGGAACTTCGTCCCATCCGAACGTATAGAAGCTCTTTTTCCAACCAGCACCACTGACAAGGAGCAAGAACGATAGAAAACCCCGAGCAAATTTATTGGCCTATACTGGGATTGAAACCTAGACGTGACCTAGACCTATATTCACTGATTCAATAAATTTTGATAAACATGTTTACAACAATCTAACGTTTTAAAACAATCGAAATGACCTTGACACTTCCATTGTCGCCAATCTCGCCCGTAAAGTGATAATTATTATCTTTTAATTTAAAATATGCTGTAAAGTGGTTAACATTTACAAATATGATTAAATTAAAATTAATCCACACCAAAGTTATTAACTATTGATTGTGGGATAATGTCCTTCAAGGAAATATTCCAAGAGTCAAGAATTTCTTAACAGGGCAAAATGGAATCGGGATTAAGGCAATTATGATAAAGTAAGCAAAAAAAAAAATGTTGCCAATAAGGCTTTTTTAGGTCTAGTCGTATTCTAGATATGGGATTTCAAATATATCGGATCACTATGAACCATTTGACGACTGCATCATTGATTCCGCTATTGGGTTGAGCCGGCGATGGGGCTGCATGTGGCAACGTCTTTTGCCAAAAAGCATGCACTAGGAGGTTCATAGAAGCCGTGTAATAACTCAAACTGGGAGTAGTATATTAAAACTGAAATATATATACGTCACCCATCTTGCAACCTTGTTATTCTTCGCGTCAAAATCGTGAACATTTACTAAAACCGGGCCGAAAATTATGCCCAATTAACCAATGCATAGCAGAATATTGCAGAGAAACTAATTGCGTGACAAACGAGGCAATCAGCACGGATACAATGTAAACATTACTGTTTAGAGACAAACAATACTTTCATCGTTATTATACCTTATAGAGCGGGAGCCCAGGGGGGTAACCTAGCTGAAAAGTGTATCAATTTTCTCCTATATGGTACCAATGCATGATGTAAGTCTGTCGGGTTTTGGGTGGTGGGTGTGGTATTCCACGTCCAAAATGCCATGCTCCCCAACTAGGCTAGATTAGCTCAAAAGTGTACCACACGAAAATCTTACTGCAGTGTACCGTACATCTTCAGGTGTTACAAAAACACTCTGACAGACATTTCTAGTGGTGGGGTACCCCTGACAGAGCTATGTAATTGCCAGACATTTGTATCCCTGACAAGAGTTATCTAATTTCCAGGCCATAGCTAGGCTAGATTAGCTGAAGTCTGTACCACCTAAAACAGCTTTGGAGTTGTTTAGTACCACCACAGGAATCATGAATGACCACCACCAGAAACCCGACAGACTTACATTCTGATGATACCAGTTATACATGCATTGATACCATATAGGTGAAAATGGATATACTTTTCAGCTAGGTTGACTCTCTGGGCTCCTGGTCTATTAAATCACTGTCCAAAGTTTTAGGGAAGACCCCAGAGTAAACCAAGGGCTGTCATGTTGCTGTATTTGGGATAGATTTAATTAAACGGGGAGAATAGACACACTCCTTCAAAAGCTCAAGTATCAAAAGCCAATCCAACAATGGATGCGTAACCAGGTGCCAGTTTCACAAGGCATTCTCAGAATTAAGTTAAGAATTAACTCAACTTTCAATCACTGTTTATAAGAAATATCTTTAATCCAGAAACACAAACAGTTGCACATAGTTTCTTATTGATGTATTTGATACACTGAAACAATAAACGTCTAATAAAGGGCTATATCTTAGTTAAAATAAGGTGAACAATTTTGAGTAAATTCTTAAGTCTGAGAATGTTTTGTGAAACCGGGACCAGATGTAGGAATTTATTGGTAACGTAACCAGGTGTAGGAATGTATTATTATTGGTAACTTAACCAGGTGTAGGAATTTATTGGTAACGTAAACAGATGTAAGATTTTATTGGTAACCTAACCAGATGTTGGAATTTATTGGGCTTCTGTGTCCATTTGAATACTTATAAAACTGACAGCATTTTATTGATTTCTGCCGCAGTAATTAACACTCGGTACTCTTCCTTTTTCCTGTAATTACAGATGACGTCCACGTGTTGCCTAGTACTATTAGTTGTATGTGTAGTTTTGCTGGCGGGAGTTTGGAGTGACTGCGATATTGGATTAAATGGAGGTATGTATATGTATATAAGTACGAATTATAGTCGCTCTCTAAGTTTATTTTTGCACGCGCTATGACATCAATCACACAGATGACTTTTGTTTGTCACAGTGCTTTAAGTATTTTAATAATACATTGTTGTTTGCGGGATCTTTCGTGGAATGCTAATTAACAAGGCAGGTCATATAGTATAACTGTCGGTTTCTTTCCCGGTTTCCTTTTATAGCTCATTTTCAGTTTCTCACGAATTCCCTGTAAGATTATGCGCTTTAGAAGTCAGATGCAGGGGCGGATTGGGCCGCCCGAAGTGCCGGTCGGACAAAAAGTGAAAAAAATAATTCTGTCCAATTCGCCTAAAAAACCTATGGGGGGGGGGGGGGGGTATTGGACCGGCCATGGAGCGATGATGATCATGTTGTATGTGGCCGGTGGCTTTAACAAGCCGCCACGCCATCACTGGAGTCTGGAATGGCCTGGTATAATAGACTTTCTGGGCCGGGTGTGCTGGGTGTGGGCATTCCAAATTTCATCCGAAAATTTCATCGGATTCACTCGACACTGTCGCCCGCAAATTTACTAATTATTAAGTCACCTGCACCCTGTTTGTGGGGATACGCCAGAAACGTCTGCCGATGGTTCGTAACTCAAAAAAAAATTCAAATTTAAGGTCTCGGCAAAATTTGATGATAGCTGGTTGGCTGGCTGAATATGAGTGCGAGACGATTTCCTGAGGCTGGTGTTTTTTAACCAGTTAAATTCTCTTGAATCTTGACGATACAATGATAATACGTTAATTAATAATATGACGATACGATAATTTCACAGGTTGATGGTTGTAAATTACTTGCAGGTCGGGGTTTTGGCCTAAATTAATCGATTTATGAGATATATTATTTGACAGATATTATAATCAGATATGCCACCAAATCGCATATTTGGGGTTCATTTTCCAAAATTTTCCCGGGGGAAAGCCCCGGACCCGGACACCGCGGTCCGTAAAAGGGGCCGCTCCGACACGGGAGCCCGGGTGGTTCCCAGCCCCAATCCGCCCCTGGTTTGTTTTTTCTTTACCGCTCGATTTCATTGAATTTCGATATGAAGAATTGTATATTTCATATTGATATTTTCAGGAAAGAATTTTTGTGAAATTGGAGGTGTAAAATTAAGAATAAATGAAACAAGAGTATTAAGTAGAACGTGTAAAGAATGTATGTGCTCTAAAGAATACTGGATTTGTTGTGGGTAAGTATTTTATTTTACTTTGGGACAGTTTTTTTGTATATTGAACAGTTGATCAATTATATACTCTTCAAAAAAAAGTAGGGGATATTCAGAAACAATACAAAACTGCGGAAATTCACTGCTGTTTTTATTAGAGGTAACCAGTGTATGTTAATAACAGGTCAATTGCCTACACATGAACATAAACAGTTCATATGGGCGGCTTATCCGACGGCCCTTTTTCACTCGCAAAGAGATACACTGTCAAAAGTGAAAATGGACGTTTTTGATTTTTTGTCTTAATGTCACTGATAATGAGTAATTGCTCCACCAATCCTCTGACTTTCAGCAATTCGCCGTGGCATGCTCCTAATCAACCGTCCCACTTCTCTTGCAGTGCCACGGCCAATTCCTGCAGTGTTGTCGGTTGACGTTGACGTTGACGTCGACAAACACGTCTCCCGATCAAATTAAATGTAACACACTAAAGCAAAGATACGCTAAACTGTAAATCTTATGCAAGAAAGCACACATGGATAGGATAAACCAGCAAGCGGCAGTGTTCATCAACCCTTCCTTGAAGTGTCAAATTTGACAATGAACCCCTCCCACGTGTATGGCGCTATTGTGTGTCGCACATGAAGCTCAGTGGTTCTGTTGGGGCGATAAGTGTTCATCATCTGTGAACATACTCTCAAAGCAGGTTAAATGTCCATGACTATTTATCATATCACAACCTGCATAGCTATTGGCATTTCAATATGCCCTACTTTTTTTTTGAAGAGTATAATTTGTATGTAATCCCTATAATGTGCGATATTCCTTAGTTTAAACTTTCCCCCAAAAACATTTTGGTTCAGATTGCAATCAAATCGATCAATCCTACCGTTGGTTATGGCCATTCCGGACTTCACAATAGTTCTTGTTGATTTCACGCCGCCATCTTTAATTTCTAGTTATCGTCTGTTGCCATATGAACGATAATAACCATTTTCTATCCACAAACATCGAGGCCAATTAATCCAGCCAATAATTTTTTGTTTTTGTTTATCTTTATGATTTATTTTATTTTTCAGAATGGGCTACCGGGATGCGTCAGTGAAGGAAAGAGGGTGTTTTATCAAGATCTATGAGAATTGCTGTTATCAATTTGTGAAAACCTATAATGAAAACATTCCATGTTCCAGTATGCAATGTTTACAAAGATCACACAAGTGAATTAAGACTCTTTCTACGTAGACGGTATAGTGTGAGATGTCTACCGTATGCAGTGTTCTAATATTCAAAAGTACCGGGGTCGTTTGCTAGAAATATATAAAGGACGTATCTTCTTCGTTATGTAGCGCTAAACTTTCGATTACAACCAAGTTGCCTTCTGTACCATTAAATTTTCATTCTGGCATGGGAAGCGGAAGTCGGTCGATGTATCTGTTTTAATATCGTATTTGAAAGTTTAAATATGAAAAAAAATATTTTTCCAATCTTAATTATAAAATAATATATCGACCCAACAAAACAATTGAATACATTGACACTTTTATTTTTCACCCAAATGAAAAGCTGCTGCGATTGTTCTATGGCTCATCTTAACTTGGTTTTGTGTTTCAAATCTCCATTAACTTTGTGTTGGGTAAGACTGCTCCCACAGGCGTGTCTCCAAAAATGGGATCTGGACCTCCTCTGCTCAAATTCCTGTACACGTCCCAGTCACTAAGATAAAGTCCACTGTGGCATCGATCTTTAGAAAACCTCATCTGATTAATATTCAGAACTCTATTTCGTTTCGTATAATAATATTACACTTTTGTCTGCCTACACTCAAATGTGCAGGTGATCTATGACTGAATAACGTAGATTATTATGATGAACTTTTTTTTTTTTTTTAGTTCTTTACGTCTCTGTAGGTATCTCACTATTTCTAGAACACTCGATTTCTCTTCGCTATTGCGTTATTTATAATCTTGACATATTCCTATTTACTATAAAATGATCTTGATTTCACCCTTTCCTAATGAATTGATGTATCTGTGCTGCCCATCCCAAGCCATACTCTATATAGTGTTTATGCTGTCACAGATGCCATTTAATTGTGACCTCTCCTTCCCCACCCCATACTTTATATTTTATGTTTTTTCAGGTGCCATTTAATGTAGGTTTCCATCTTATATCTTTCCAAGTCATTAACCGTTACTTTTATATAGGATGTGTTCCGTTGGGTGTAAAAATAGTTCAGTGATTCATTTATCCTTAATCAAATCAAAGGTTAAAGAATAAGTAGGGTAATGAGCTGAACAGGGATGTCTAATGAGAATCTAATTCCCCTGTCCGCTGCAAATAAACTGCTAAAGCTGCACAGATTTAAATCATAATACCTTTATAAAAGGAAAGTTAACGATATTAGCCGGAATAGCCTCTGTCGGGGAACATGTCTCGCACCGCATTGCACACGTAGATATTGAAATAAAAATTACCAGACGCTAAAACCCCATGCTATTTTAACTGATATACGTGTCATTACCCATCCTGACTTTGCCTTCATGGAAATAAAATAAAATGGAGTTTAACGTGTAACTGCTAAACCAACATGAAGAAAGAAATTTTGTCCGACAGCGGCGTTTCCTGTTACTCTTCTTTGAATTTCGTATCATAGGGCCTGTCATTGAGTCAACTGGCGTGGTTTCGAATCCCCGGTTGTACGTGACAAGGAGTAGGGTCGCCTGTCAACCTCGTGGGTTTTCTCCGGGTCCTCCGGTTTCCTCCCACTGCTAAAGACCCCTATGCGCAAACGAATTATTGAAATAAAATTGAACCATGTGTTAGTCTCGAAAGGACCTAGTTTGTGTCGAGTGGACGTTAAACCCCATTTCTCTCTCTCTCTCTTTCAATTTCATCTACATGGGGTTCTTTTAAATGCACGCCAATGTGTACCCTGGACCTCGGTTTTTTGTCCCATCTGAATTCAGAATAAGAGTAGGCCATTTCGCCACTGTCCGGACAAAATCTGGATGGAGTAGAAAAGTAGGACGTTAAACCCCATTTTATTTCATAACTTGCAACTACTACAATGGATGATTGATTGGTCTGTGCGTATATGATATCTATATTGTTGCATAAAGCCCTCTGTAGACCGACTAACAAATGTTTTATATATTTTAAAATTTCCCGCAAACGAAGAATGTTCAACACAACCGACCAGCATTTGTTCAAAAGAGACCGATGTTATTGTCATATGAAATCCAACATACACCGACAAACTTTTGTCGGAAAACATTGTTCGGCCAACAAATGTGGGCTTTAGCCAAATGTAACACATTAGATGATACTTTATTCATTATCTTGTATTGACATTCTGTTGTAAACTTTATTTGCAGTGGTTAACAGGGCCTCCCACGACGTCATATTATGTACTAATCATTTATGTGCCTGAATTAAATGAAAAATGAATAAAATAGGTTTTCCGCTAACTCTTAATGCATCCCCATTTATTACCTAAATTTAGGTGGTTTATACTCTATAATTGTATTTAATCATACTTTTAATCTGGACAATATAAATAATTGTATATCACATTAACATTATATAGATCTAAATATATATATTATATGTAAAAAGTTTTCATGTTGAGTTGGGATTGAATGGTAGTTATTTTCGAAGAGCAGACAAATTGCCTGAAAATATATTTTGATATGATTTTAATTAACGATATTGTTAAACTACACATTTTGAACTTTCAATTATACTCAGTTAATATGAATGTAAATAATTATTCATTGGAGATTACTTATTGATATTAATGAAAGCTCAATTGAATATTTTCCTGTGGCTGTATGAGTACTTGAAATTGTTATTCCTATAACGTACTTGAGAACAATTAAACGCTGTTATAATAATGCCAATTGTTAAATTAGTTAATGTATATAACGGAGAACTTATAGTTATGTTGAACAGACATTGTCAGCGTCACGTATTTCAACTGTGGTTAGTATAATGTAATGTAAAATAGTGACATTAATGTTATAAAATAGCACTTCCTCTTCTTTCATTTGTTATCAATAGTGCGTATATAACTTATTTATTTTATATGATTTTCCCCATTATTTTACAAAATGCACATAGCAGACCCAGTGCCGGACTGGGCCCATCTGTCCACCTGTCCGTGACAGGTGGACCGAAACTCATTAAAAAAAAGTGGGCCTAAGCCTATAAAGAAAAAAGAAAAAAGAGAAAGAAAAGAGAAAGAAAGGAGAGGAGGAGGAAAGAAAAGAAAGAAGGAAGGAGAGGACAGGAGACAGACAGGACAGGAGAAAGAAAAGATAGGAAAAAAATGACAGACAACACAAAAGAAGAAGTGTACATATGTACTAGAATTCTCAAATTCATCTAATGATAGTGCTCTTAGGTCTTCTGTTATCTAATTGTATCAGGAAATCAAACGTTTTCCTTCTTCTGCTTAGGTTTGAAATGCCTGGAAAATGGGTTTGCGGTTGTCAATTTTCAAAATTTTCCTGGGGGAGAGCCCCAAAGACCCCCTCGGACCTCGCTCGTTACACGCCTTCGGCGGGTACTTGTGTGGGCCTTGGTCAATGACCTGACAGGTGGGCCTTCGGCTCACCAGTCCGGCACTGAGCAGACCTGATACGCTATGCTCGTTCCCTGATCCCTTTTCATAAATTTTGAAACATTGTTTACAAAAAAAGGTTTGATAATAAAAGAACAATCAGTGTATCGAGAGAGAGAAATGAGGTTTAACGTCCACACGACACAAACTAGGTCATTTCCGGACTAAAATATGGTTCAATTTTATTTCATTAATTCGCTTGCGCGTAGGGGAAATGTATCGAACTACGCCTGTAGCTGAGCTGTATTTGTTATGACATGCTTGGTTGACATGATCTTCCGGATCGTGAAACCTAGTTCTACTTGAGTTTGCAATCGCCCATCAAAGCCCCCGCGTTCACCAAGCTCTTTATCGGTTTCTGTTTACAATATTTGCAATGATTATACTGTCTGTTTCTAACGCCTGTGAATAAAAAATATCCCAAGAAAATTCATCAGAAAATATGTCTGTATGGTACAGGCGTCCCAAAGTGGGTGATATTATCCCTTGATGAGAAAGAGAGAGAGGGGGATGGGGGTTAACGTCCACTCAACACAAACTAGGTCATTTCGGGACTAACATATGGTTTAATTTTATTTCAATAATTCGCTGCGCGTAAGGGTATTTAGCAGTGGGAGGAAACCGGAGTACCCGGGGAACCCACGAGGTTTAACAGGCGACCCTACTCCTTGTCACGTACCACCGGGGATTCGAAACCACGCCAGTTTACTCAATGACAGGCCTTATGATACAGCACGCACGTGCTAACCATTCGGTCATCCACCCCACCCCCCACCCCTTGATGGCGATGCGAAGATCTAAAAGATCGAAAATGGAAAAGGCTATATTGATTTGAAATCGTTTTCTAATTTCAATTTTAGATTAATTCTTTACCCGTTCAGCATTGCCTGCCTACCGTACTCTTTTTCCTTTTTGGGAAGATTTTTTTTCTCTTGTAAAGATATTTATTCACATACAGTACAGTTAATATCAGTGCAGTGGTCGTAAAAAGGAATTATACCAATTGACTATTCTAAATACGTTTTATACTTGTTTTTAGATAATAGTATATAATTTATGATGGCTTCATGGTAATGAAACATTAACAGGTTTTATGTACACTATTTAAATATCGGCATATAATATATATATATATATATATATATATATAGGGAGTCGCGGTGGCTTAGTGAATAAGTCGTTTACCCGTAGTGCCGCTGTACGGGTAAATTTTCCCCATAGCACACTGCGTGACGTATGCCGTCTTCATTAGTTCAGTCGGAGCATAACAGTAAAAGGCTAAACCCCATTATCTGCGTTAAACGATAATATGGCCGCCGCTGTCGATAGAAGGTCTGAAATCGTCACTTCTTTTATTACAGTGGCGTTGGTACAATTAAGGCTATTTCTTGTCAAAGCCTCTAAAATTTATAACTTCGCTCAGAATAGAGTAATTTGACTGAAACTAGGAATATAAACATTCATTTTTCATGATCTGTTTTTGAATTATTATAGCAAGAGTTGACAGCGTTTCACCTATATCATTCATACAAACCGCGCGATTGGATAATATAGTTGAACTATTCTAATTTTAATCATTCGTGTTTATCACGTAAATAGATTGAGGGAGACTCCATTAACAGCTTGTATTTGTCGTTAGTCGATTTCCATTTACTATAAATATCGAAGGAAATTTCTGGATTATCCCCTGCCAACTTCTAATTCCGCCGTTTAATCTCACAACCGTTAGCCATTAGATCAACACAACACATGTCCATTGCGTCACTCAAACAGACAGCTAAACTGACGACCTGTTGTTAAGGGATACCCATACATTTTTGTCTTCTGCGCTCCCCATGGGTGTTTTTTTTTCAGGGAATCCGGCAATTTTCGAGTAAGATTGGGTGTCTCTAATTTCCATATACACCAAAATTTAGTCTTTAACATTTGGACATTTATATTTCAATTTTTAGGAAAATAGTATATCAGGTAGATTGTAACAGTGTTGTGATAGCAATAATGAATGCATAAGAGTAATTTTACCAATTATGAACAGGTTTATTAATTTCCAAAAATTTAACAATTTCTTGAGTTTTATTAGGAACATTGAATATAATATATGCTAAAAATATACATGCTATCTACGTGTTTAAAGCTGACCTTCGATTACAAAACTACAGAATTAATTAAATAAAAAAAAGGTTAACGCCCTAAACAGTCGCAACATTTGTTTTCAATTTGTAGAACTTGCTGCCAAAGAAGCAAACAATATGGATTCAGCAGATAAAAACAAAACTTGTGGCCACCCCAGATGTCAAACATGCAAAATCATAAACATATCCGACCACTTCCATAACAAAACATCTGGCACACAATTTCCAGTATTAGACCAACTTACATAATTTGTCTAATTTCATGTGGACAATGTGACAAACAATACGTAGAGGAGATCGAAAATACACTTGAAAGAATAAACAGTCACCGGTCACCAAAAAAGACAAACCGGTCTCAATTCACTTCAACCAACCAAATCATGATACCTCTAACCTCAATGTCACGCCAACAGAAAAGACTAAGAGCGACTTTGAAACTACAGAAGAAATTAAAACGTTTAGGCTAACAAGAGAAAAAATCTGGATTGACAAGTTGGAAACAAATAGCCCCCCCCCCCCCCGCCTCACACACACACACACACAGACACACACACACACACATAGGTTTGAATAGTCATGCGGCTTGCGCAAGAACACCTTTTGTAGTCCCATTTAGTGCAACAGCAGCAAGTGCATCCAAAACAATCAGAAAACACTATACTGATCTCCAGAAAAATCATCCGAAAGTCTTCAAACGGAAACTTATAATTACATATTCTATAAAAAAAATCTGGACATTTTAGTGCACAGTAAATTAGACTAAATAAGACCAGTCCTCTCCCTAACCAAAAGCGAACAATATATCAAACCCTAGTCTTAACCCTGAGTAAATAAAATCAACTAGATATATGAATACCTAGCACTAACCCGAGAATATTGAAACAAACTTATTTTTTGAAAATCCAATCCTTGGTGGGAAACACACTAATGTGTCTGTCACAGGAGAATCTCAAATTTGATTTCTTTTCTTCAGAAATAAAAATACCAGAATACCACAAGCGACACCTAAGGAAGGCCATCAACGCCACCAATACCAAACAAAACAGCGAAATCAACTCTGTATATAAATCTAATGTATTGTATGTATTTTTTTTTATAAAACTAGGAAATATCACGAACTAAATTTCCATCATCCTAGATCAGTGCTAATGTGGAGGCTTAACCTCTTTCCCAAATTCTTAAAGCTAACCCACAATCACGTGTCTCAACCATGTTTACATCTCGTGATATGGACGAAATCTGCAGGTGGCCTTGGTAAATACATTTGACCCGTCTGTGACACAACAGCTTCGCTCAGTTGAGATCAACGGGGAGGTAACTTTCTTCAACCTGCTCGCTAGTGTAAACTTGATCATCATAGTTCATTAACGTTATGGGTTAAAAATTCTAAGTAGATAAGTAAAACCATTCCTTGCTTCGTGGTTCGTGGTTCGATTAAAAATACAGAATCACCGGGACCGCGTTCCCCATCATTGAGATTAATTTGGTATGGTCACTGAGTTGTGGCCCGAGTTGCAAATGTGATTGATAGTCGTGTCCATATAGCGTGGACCTTGAGATTTCGATGCATAAAAAATAAAATCGATCCAAGGGTACATTCCCGCCAGATTTTAGGGGACAAATTATTTCTTTTCTGGGGGGGGGGGGGGGGGGGTTTGGGGTATCCTTTGGGGTTGCATGTAATTGGAGGATTATCTGCAGCGTGTATGATCGAAAAGTCGGCAATCTTTACATATGTAATGCCAATAATGGCTTCTATCACCATATCCATTTTTGTTGACTCAGAAGGGAGGTACTGATAAAAACCCACGAGGTTAGGCAAGGCGACCCTACTATGTGTTACGTTCAAATCAGAAGCTGAACCCATACCTTGCATAGACAACAGGCTTTATGATCTACAGCCAACGCTATAGACCACTCGACCACCCAGATCCTATGCTGGTTGAAGGATCAATCAATATTTAATTACATATTTCTATATTCCCTTATATGTCTAGGGGGGGGTGGGGTGGATGGCTGTATGGTTAGCGTGCGCGCGCTGTATCATAAAGTCTGTCATTGAGTCGACTGGCGTGGTTTCGAATCCCCGGTTGAACGTGACAAGGAGTAGGGTCGCCTGTCCAACCTCGTGGGTTTTCTCCGGGTCCTCCGGTTTCCTCCCACTGCTAAAGACCCCTACGCGCAAGCGAATTATTGAAATAAAATTGAACCATATGTTGGTCCCGAAATGACCTAGTTTGTGTCGAGTGGACGTTAAACCCCATTTCTCTCTCTCTCTCTCTTATATGTCTATATCTCACAAATCATACTTTTTCTGATAAACTCGAACAAGTTTCGCAAATTAACATTTTGTGGAGGTTTTCCAACTGTCATGCAACTTTCGTCAACAATTTCTCTCAAAGAGGGATTTCCTCGGGATTGATCGTAAAATTGCTCGTGAACACTATCATCTTGATGTATGTTTCTCTTGCCTTGAAAGGCGTTAGTTAGTTACCCCCCCCCCCCCCAGGTTAATCGTGTTATATAAAATCCAAAAAAAAGATTGCAAAAATATTTTATTTGAACTATAATATTCATTACCAAAATTTAAATCATAAGTAATGCACCGTCATCCATCCACCCCTACTTTCTTTTATACAGATATTCATCGAGTACAGCAAATTCAGTCTTGGGTACAAGAATCAGTTGTGCACAAAGTTGGTATAAATATTTTTAACCGGTGTATAACTCAGTCTTGTGAATGATGGTGGACATTGCACAGGCGAACAAGCAATATAAGGATCTGTGTTGTTCACAAACTGGTAGCAACAATAATCCAACTTCTTCTTCGTGCAGCCCGGCATTACAGTTAAACCGGACTTAAAACCAATCCTAGGAAATAAAACAACAAAAGTCCATTAACAGATTCTGGCCGATTTTAAAAGAGAAATAAAAGCCAGTGTGGTGGTGGGCTCAAAGTAGAGAGCTTCGCCGATTTACGGTTGTAAACGACCAAGCTTCGACGATTTACGGTCGTAAACGACCAAGAGAATACTCTAATTAAGAGCACGCTTAGTAAATGCAAAAGTGCAACAAAAAGTGCAACTTAATGTGAAATTATGTGGACATTTTTAATCAAAATCAGAAGTGGTATCAGGTGGTCTTGAATGTATAAACATACACGCCTGTCAATTGTAAAATTATATCCCGTGTGCATATATTACATGCCTATGGACCAGCTTCAGATTTTGAAGCATAAAAGGAAAAGAACCGGAAAACATTTTCTAAATCAAATGGCCGTAATTGCACTAAATGTCGTCTTCGGACTTGGTCTGTAACTACCCATGCTACAACTTTGGACCATCTTAAAATCTTGAAGCACTGTAGACAAATTCCGGAAACGATTTCGGACCTCCGGTTAGGCCCGTTTGCCATGTGCGCGTTTCCGTCGGCGAAAAAGTCGGACGAATGCAAATGTAATAGGGCCGCTTTCGTGTAAGCGTTTCCGCGCGCGATAAAACCCACGAGGAAAAACTTTGAACCATCTTTAAATCTTGAAGCACTGTAGACAAATTTCGGAAACGATTTCGGACCTCCGGTTAGGCCCGTTTGCCATGTACGCGTTTCCGCCGGCGAAAAAGTCGGACGAATGCAAATGTAATGGGGACGCTTTCATGTAAGCGTTTCCGCGCGCGATAGAACCCCACGAGGAAAAAAAGTTGCTCGGTGAGCGGATTTTTCGCAGTTTTCCGGGCGCGAGGTGTGCATGTTTATTTTCTGGACGGGATCTCTAAGTCAATAAACCGCTCTTATTGCTAATTCAGTTTACAATGAAATGAAAGAGGTTTAACGTCCTACTGTTCTGCTCCTATCCTGGGCTAATGAAGACGGACATACGCCATACAGTGTGCTATGAGGGAAATTTTGCCCGGACAGCGGCACTATGGCCTACTCTTATATCAAATTCAAACTGCAAAGGGATCTTTTACGTGCACATCAATGCATCCGAACGACTAGACAGCTGTTCTTGTCAGGCCGTCCGTCTTGCACCACTGACCAGGGGAAACCACGTCGGCAAATCCCGATGAATATCTCGGCCAATGCAGGGATCGAACACGCTACTTCCAGGCTAGCCAGCCAGTGTCTTACCCACTTAGCCACCGTGGCTCTCCAGGTGTTTTGGACATTTTTTTTAAACGTGGCATTCCCCAAAGTTTTCAGCGATTTTTCTGTACATGTGGAAATAAAAAAAAACAAAACAAAATGCGCGCGAAAACGTGCACAAGGAAAGCGGGCCTTTGGATTGCGAACATACTTACACCCCCAGGTGTTTCACGGCTAGGAGCCTAATAGTTATAAAATCCTTTCTATACACACTCCACATCTACATTTCTTGTGCTCCATTATTTGACAAGCTAGATCAAAAATTTACTTTCAAGATTATGACATTGGACATGCAACCAGAATGCCCCCCCCCCTTCTCTCAACAAGGGTGGCTCCTCCGAAACTGACGAGGAAGGTGTGTAGAGATCCGGTGTACAAACTGGATAGTAGCCCTAGCAAATCCAATGACATTTTGGGTGCGGTGGGGCGGTGGGGTGGTGGTGGTGGTGGGGGCCTAGTGGTTTAACGCGTGCGTGTGAAAATCACAAGGTCTGTCATAGGCATGGTTTCGATTCTCTGCTTGAACGTGACAATAAGTTGGATCGCCTGTTCTACCTTGTGGGTTTTCTCCGAGTCCTCCAGTTTCCTCCCGCTGCTAAAGATCCCCCAACCCCAGGTGCAAGCGAATTGTTGAAATAAAACTGAATCATATGTTAGTACCGAAATGACTTAGTTTGTGTCGAGCGGACGTTAAACCCATCTTCCTCTCCCCCTCCCCTTTCTCGCCCTCTCTACAAGACAGTTGTAATACAAAGAAGAAACGTGGAAATACAGTTTCTTGGCATCCACCCCACTCCACCTACTCGCATTGCACTCGTAATCATCTGTGTTTAGTTTAACTGATTGAAATGATGGCCTTGTGTGGTACTGATATGTCAATATTATCAAAATTAAAATACGTTATGAGTTAATCCTATAATAATAATACCAGTCATTTAATTTTGTCGTCATGGTTTCAGTTGTTCCCGCCGGCTGACATTTTTCATTCATTCTTCTATTCATTCGGTGTCAGGCATTAATGAAGTGGCAGGTGTGCTTTATTAACTTTGCTAGTGAAATCCGATCTGACGATTGACGGACTAAAATTAAAATACCGGGAAATATCCCGCAACAGGAATGACAGACGATTTCCTGTTTACCACAAACCCACCAGAATTGAAAATCAGTTAATCGACACTTGACAATAGTTAATGACAGTATTGTATTCTGTCCATTCACAAATATTAGAGCTGTACAGAATCATTCAATACTTCTATAGAAACAATACGCATCCCTTTCAACCGTTTTATTTTAAATGGCGAGCACACTGTTTATTGGATATTACAGTATATGAAGGTTATAAAAATACCCACCCACAACAGCGCCAACTAGTACGTGTACACGAACACTCTTCGCAACCAGCACGAAATCTGTCACCGGGTCTCATCTTACCATTTGGTACAGCACAATATATATCTAGTTTACCTTTACCTATATATATATATATAAACAACCAACAGTATAATCAACAGTCTTTATAATAGTAGTACGTATAAAAACAACCAACAGTATATTCAAAAGTCTGCAGTTGTACACATAAAAACAACCAGATATTCAAAAGTCTGCAGTTGTTCATATAAAAACAACCAGTAGTATATTCCAAAGTCTGCAAGTCATGAGTGATGGAAGCATTCCTATTTCCACCCCGATCTAGTCGAAACCCGGCAAAGACATGGAAATCTGCAATACTTATAATAGTTATTTTTTGGCGCTCGAAAAGTTGATCGGACTCCATTAAACACCACAATGATTCTGTTATCGAATATCATTAAACATTTCAATACTTACTAGTAAATGCAATCTTTGGGCGTCCATAGAAACAGAAAGCATTTATTTCTTCACGCATTAAGATAACCAATAAGCCGATAGCCAAAATCTCCCTAAACTTCATTGTATTTGTCGATACAATTTTGTTTCAAATCTGAAATGACAAAACATTTCATTAAACAAGCTGATCCCCCGAATTAAAAACATATACACCCGGCCTTCGGAACGAAGACCATAGTGGCAGGTGTGGGTGTGGGCAGGGGTTGTGGATAGGTGAAATGAAATGAATGGGTTTTAACGTCCTACTGTTCTGCTCCGACTGGGCTAATGAAGACGGGCATACGCCATAAAGTGTGCTATGAGGGAAATTTTGCGCGGGCACCGCGACTATGGCCTACTCTTATATCGAATTCCAACTGCCAAGGGATCTTTTACGTACACGCCAATGTATACACGGGACCTCGGTCTTTTGTCCCATCCGAACGACTAGACAGCTGTCCTTGTCAGGCCCTCTGTCCTGCACCACTGACAAAGGGAAACCACGCCGGAAAATCCCGATGAAATTCAAACCGGAAACCATCAGATAGGTTGGTTGTGTTTCGTTGACATATTTATCCACCTTTCACATCAGTTATCCAGATAAAAAGGGATTTTAATACCGGTAACTATTGCGCTGTATTGTGTTTTGTGGACATCAGAATAGTTACGGGATTACGAAAACAAATCAGTAATTAATGTTGGAGGGTTTTTAAGAAATATTCCTTTAGTCTGAAAAGTTCTGTTCAAATAGATAAGCAGCATGTAATTCATTTCATATTATCCTGCCAAGAAAGGGGATTCGGATCTATTTCTGTCCAACTAGGCCCAATAATGAGAATTCATAATACAGAAAAATGATTGGGCATTAATGATGTATATTATTAATTAACTGAATAACATTGACTTTTGTATCTTAACAACAGATAAGCAAATCATGGTGGTGTTGCTCGTATAATTACCATGCAGCTAGGTGGTCCACAAATGTCACAACAATACAAAAATATTTACTATTTAAAGATGCATTATGTACGAGCTAAATTTCCCCTAGCTTCAAACGTTATATGAATCATTATTTAGACATAATCAACTCGGGTGATCGATATATTAAATGGATTAGAACATCCACGCCAGTTAATAATTTAACGTGCAAATGGATAAGCGAGACTTTTTCGTTTATTGGGGAGTTTTTTTGTCGTAGCAATGGTAATTGACAATCGAGACCATCTTGTCAAACACCTATTCTCTCAGAATAAAGTAAATGGAATTGGACTGAAATTTTCAAAATATTTATTTATCGTTATGTATTGTTGATTGATTTGGTATAGCAAGAACGACCAACTCTTTATTTAAAACTTACACAATCCTTAAAGGAGCTGAATCTAAAGTAATGAATTGGGATAATCTGATTTGTTTTTTCGATTAGTAATGGAACAAGCGCTACATGATTATTAAAGATTAAAACCAGAAGTAGGTTCAGATTTATTTTTAGCATTCTGTGTCGATACTTGAACAATAATATATCAACATTGGTTTCATCTACATATAAAATCCCTTGAAATCTACAATTTTGTTTATGACCAGTGCTAAAGAAGGAATGTCATTTTGATAGTAAATCTGTTATTATTAAATAATTATTAACGCAGACTGTATAATATTATTTAGGAATTATCATAATGATAATTAATAATTATAATAATAGTCAAACAACTTTCGTATAATATGTATTCCATAACATTGTATAATAAACCTGGTTAACCATTACACACACACCCCACCCACCTTCCCTCGTCCTTTCTCTAAAGAGGAATTATCACTATTAACCAAAAAGCAAATGTAATTAAAGTATATTCACGATAACCTTAAACACACGGTAATCCATCATAGGCTTCCATAGAACAAATCATTTTCCAGTTAGTCGCACTGAATCTTAAAACGTCTATTGATTGGAGAGACTTGCCACAGAATGTGAATGCAATCTAGGGTTAGACGATCAGAGTCTGACTGTCTAAGTACTCCTTTAATTATAAATATGACTTTTATAATTACTAATCAACCAGAACTATCACTAACAAATTATTGTGTAATTACTCACCCCAATCCTAGTTAGATCTTACGAATCTATAACTATTTAGCACTACGATTATCTCTTGTAGCTATATAATATGGAAGTTAACTTGCTAATATAGACAGTTTGGGTATGACCTTTGACACCTTATAATGTCAAATTTCAGAACCGCGGTTGTGATTCAATTATTCTACTCATTTAGTAATTAAGTGAATTATTGTAACATCCCTCAAAGATTACATTTCGCTATTAATGTAACGCGGTTATTTTCAGAACAAAATAGTAATTCAAATTTTTATATCACTTATCTGTAAGGCACGATTCCCAATATCTTCATGATGCCACACAAACCTCCAATGTCCACTAAGGGCAAAGGCAAGCGGCCACGGGAACAGGAAAGCCCCAGGGGATCTACACCTCCACCGGGTGACATTCTGGCAGCATATGAAGGCTCTTAAGATATGACCCCACCCAGGAGTAGCGCCAGCGGGCGGATGACGAGCCACACCGGGTGATGGAGTAGGAGGACGACGAGATTGCCAACGGGTGAGCGCCTACCACCGGAGCAAATACCAAGAAGCCCAGGGTGGTGTCCGACCTCGCCAACCAGGAGCAGGCGGATTTCCGGTCCGAGATGGCCAGCTCCAGGTAGAGGTAATAAAGTTACTGGAGATTCCCCAGCCCCCCCCCCCCCCATCAGTGCCGTTCCCTCCTTCCAACGACTCCAAAACGCCATTTACAAAGTGGCCAAGAGGTCAAGAACAGCATTAGGGAAGTTAATGGCCCCGTCTTCGATGACTTCATTCTGTTCGGATGAACTTGCAGTCACCAGGGCCATCGAAACCAGGAGAAGAAGCCCTTGTAGTTGTAGAAGACACAGCCGGACGTAGGTGGTCTCTTCCATCCAAGGCCACCACGAGGAACATTCCACCGGTCTTGGAATTGCTTGGCATTGGCATTTAAGTCATCCTGGGTCCGGGGCAGTGGCATGACCTCGTCCCTCAGGTCTTTAATGAAGGCCTGTCACTTCTCTGTGATGATGTCTCGAGCATTGCCCTTGTCATAGTGGAGAGTGGGGTACTGGTCTCCTGTAGCCAGCAGGTGTCTGAGGGTCACTGCCAGCTTGAGTTCAGCTTCAAGGTGTGGTCTAATGGGGATGTGCTTACTCTGGATTTCAGGGTCAATACTCTGGAGGAGCTCATCTGGGGTGGCATTCTGATAGATTTCTCAACTTCCACCGTCAGATAATCCATCAGTCTGTTGTAATTGCCATATTCTGGCCTTTTCTGGGGACTCAGCCATGGTCGAACCTACCAGCGTTGCGGTCTTCTCTGTCTTCTTGTTTTCCGGCATGGTTCCCCCTTGTCAGTGATGCAGGACGGAGGGCTTGACAATGACAGCTGTCTAGTCCTTCAGATGAGACGAAAAACCGAGGTCCCGTGTATACATTGGAATGCACGTAAAAGATCTGTTGGCAGTTGGAAATCGATATAAGAGTAGGCGATAGTGCCGCTGCCCGGGCAAAATTTCCCTCATAGCACACTGTATGGCGTATACCCGTCTTCATTAGCCCAGCACAGGAGCAGAACACTAGGACGTTAAACCCCATTTCATTTCATTTCATTTCTGTCTTCTTGGGGGTTCTCCCCAGGTTCTCAGCTACCAGTAGTTGGTAGTCAGATCTACTCTCCGTTGAACATCCATTGCGCAGATGACGGCTACTGCAACGATCGGTGGCTTTTTATAGCGTTTAGAGACCAAAGAATATCGGAAACTTTGCGTAGCCTTATCGGCATATTCGTAACTACTTCGTAACTGAATCGCTACGAATCGTAGATGCTTACTTCATTCAGTATTTTATCGTAACCCCATCTTGACATTCGGCATATTTTCACCCGATTACTTACGAATTTTTGTAACTCTCCATTCTCCACAAATGTTCATTTCTTTTTCCGCAGCGCCACGAATTTCGATTAATATGAATTCAGCACTATTCGGGGCGATTCGTGGCATTCGTAGTCCATGTGAAACCGGGGAATAACTCGGGCTGTTTGTGTCGTATTGGATTCGTGTCCTAACACAACAAAACAACAGCTTAGACATCATTAAAGGGGTACAAGACCTAATTTGACGAAAACATGTTTCTGGAATTCAAAATTCAGCCATGCTAACCCAGCTTAGCCAATTACAGAGAGATGATATGAAATCATTATCGACAGGCTTTGTGACCAGTGAAACATAAAGTATTTTTAGTCACTGCATAACTGAAGATCCTTTGCAGATGTTCTTAGTCAGTTCTTGAAAATATATCATCGAATTAAGGCCACGCAAATGACAAGCATATACTCTATTTATATCAGAAAATATTTGTTTATTCAATCACAATGTTTTCTGACTGGTCGACTGAAACATATTTAGTCATTTGATATCTTTCTCGATTAAATGTGGTCTCATGGTTTATATGGCGTGGGACATTCCACTTCAGTACAAGGAATAGATGAGTTACTGCTCTTTACAAATTGGTAGCAACAGTTATCCAGTTTCTTTATCTTACATCCGGGTATCTTAAATGAACCAGCATTATAACCAATTCTGTAAAGAAATAAGACGTGAATGATCATAATCCAAAAGGAGAATCGCAATCGGTATTGACGGGCTTCGATGCATTTGGGTTTCAAATCTTGGTATCAACTCCCTCGGCGACAAATGATGTCACGAACCTTGGTATTATATGCATTACATGCTTCGCCACTATTAGCGTAAAGTGTGAGTGCGTGAGTGTGTGAGTATGTGAGTGTGTGGGTGGGTGGTTGCGGGGGGGGGGGGTAACTTAAGATAATGTTCTAATACGTGCCAATATTGAAAACATCCGAGATATTTTGGCTATAAACAAATAAATTAAGCTTTGAGCAAAATCAGATAAAATTTGTGACCTCTAAATTGTTCACAAAAATGACATAATATAACGACCACATGAAAATGTTGGAGTATAATAAATTGAATGTTACGAACCCACAACAGTTGAAATTTCGAAATGTACAACGACATTCTTCACAATTATCTCTGATAACTTGACCAGGCTTCATGATACCATGTGGACTGTCGCAGAAGACCTCAAATTTACCTCCTGAAAATAACATGTTTAATCTTATATCCGCAAGTGTGCGTCGGGGAGGAAGGGGGGGGGGGGCGTCACTTCAATTTCCGTCATTCTTCGATCAGTTGGATACTTTCGTATTAACTTCGTGTGTAATACGATGAATAGATAAGTATAATTTTATCCATCTACACTTGTCGAACCCCTTCCTCGTAATACGAATAGATGTATGATGAATAATACGTCCATATTGATTTTAGGACAAAAAGTGACCCGTTTAAAGACTAAATTTTGTAGAAAGTCTTTCAATGGGAACCAACTGTGTACAATGGCTTTCTCATCTAATATAGGGGCCCCCAGATTGGACGAAAGACGTTAAACATTACTTTTTTGCTTTATATTCGAGAGAGAGAGAGAGAGAGAGAGAGACAGAGATGGGATTTAGCGTCCACTCGACACAGACCAGGTCATTTCGGGACTAACATAATATGGTTCAATTATAGCAGTGGTAGGAAACCAGAGGAACCACGAGGTTGGACCGGCGACCCTATTCCTTGTCACGTACAGCCGTGGAATCGAATGAACGCCAGTTGACTCTATGATAGACCGTTTGATACAACGTGCACGCGCTAACCATTCGGTCATCCAACCTTCTGCTTTACATTCAAGAACTCAATTGTATTTTAGCTATGTGGTTGGCAGAAAATCGGACATGAAAGCAGCTATACATTTTCACGATCTCCACGACATACAAGAACCACGACTCGCCATAGAGATTTTTGACAAGCGTAAATTTCTGGTCCGTATCCGTATGGATTTTGCGTGTGACGTCATCAATGTGTGTGTATTTCTCATACGTGATACGGCACACGGATACGGCAGCACGTATCGAACAGCTTTCATACGGAAAAGGGCCGTATAACATTGTCGTGTCCTTTTACCGTCTTTTTTGCTACTTTTTGACGCCGAAATGTTGTATCGTAGCGTTTTTATGAATTTTTGTGTATTCTAGAACACGAAGGTGTATATTTGATGTGATTTTAACCATGATGGTTGATCTACGTGCTAAAGTTAGGGAGGTGGCACCTTGCAAAACTGTAAATGATGTAATTCTATGGTAAAGGGGGTATACACTTTCTGAAATGATACATTAGTGAAACCAAAAATTGCAGTAGAGTCGAAGTCGAAGATTGTTAATAAGATTCGACATTCATTTTTTTTTAATAGCTCAGCGACTGTTGAGCGACTTCATTCCCTCCTGGAAATTGTCGGCTATAATAGGTACTTGACTAGCACTGATAGTGATCTTGGTAGATATCCGCCATCATGCTGTAATAGAACTAAGCTTAGCGAAAATCTGCCAAAACTCTAAAACTAGATTGACGCAACGTGTCACGTATACGATACGGATACGTGATACGGATGGGAAAATTCCGCTTGCCAAAAGTCTAATAAGTAAATTCGGTTGTGCATCACAATAATTTGCCGAAAATTTTACGTCATAGAAGAGAAACTTTGTTTGTTTGATTCAGGGCTAAGCAGGGCTTCAGATTTTGGTGTGTTTTCCACCATTTACAATTTAAAATCACAAGCTCCTTAATATGTAAGGAAATTTTTGAAAAATAACAAAAATTCTTTTTATGATTCTTTAAATAAACCTGCTCGTAATTAGGGAAAAATTGACTACGAAGGACCAAAGCCCATCCTCGGTTACCCAGTGTACTCATTCCATTCTACTCCACTATACCCTGGGTTAATCTAAGGGGGAGACACGTTTTCAAGTTATCCGCCCTTGATGATTGTGCTATTTTTATCGACCAATCAAATAAATTGTTATTTGAAAAGGAAGTTGGCAAAGCGAAGTAACTCTCATCGGACAATGTTAGGAGTTGGCCTATTCTAAATGCGTAATTATTAACAACTAATTATATATTATGTTAATGAAGACCAGACGTTCATATAATAATGAAGGGGGAAATTAGTTTTATTTAGAATCGTTCATTCGTTCCCGGAATTTTATGTCCACGTGATATGGTATTAGGTTATTGAGAATCAAATTGCCAAGTATAAGTTCAATAATAATAAACATAACAGAATGACATATTTCAGACAAAGAAAGAATAGTAATAATAATAACAAAAGTCAAACATATAGATGTTATACATATTTGAAATCAACAACACATACTACAGATTTTGATAATACAATTGAATATAAATAAATTATAAATATATACATTATTTACAAAAATCATTCAGTAAATGGACATGAATATGGTTATCTACCCTTATAAAAACGAAGGCGAAACGATTGGTTTGTAAACTGTTTTCTGATTGGTTCGTAGATTGTAGCTACATTCTAGGCCAGGGCAGATAATTTGAAATCGTGGAAATCCTATGGATTAACCCAGGGTATAGTGGAGTAGAACGGAATGATTACACTGGGTAACCGAGGATGACCAAAGCCAGGCTTGGGTGTATATATATTACTTTCTTCATTAGGTCACTTTAACAGGAATCTAGGCCCACAAAACCTAATTATTTTCGAGAAGTTGCGCGACATGTGGTAAATATAAAAAAAATGTAGGTTATAGTTTTGGCCGGAAGATCTTCGGCACTGTTATAATAGTACAGTGGGGTTGTTAGTGAGTATTCATTAATAGGAGACAGATTCTACTGCGTTAAAATCAAATTTTATAAGTGCCATTGAAAGTAACAATGTAGCAGTTGTTGTGAATCTTAACTGAAATATTAGAAGTGATACTTAACAATATTTAAGGCTCTAAATGGATACTGCCAGACCTTACAGTTGTGTTTAAAGATGGCTTTTGTCATGGAGACAAAAGCTGATGCTGTGGGCTATTCGCAATAACATAGTGTCGAATGTATTAATCAGAATATTTTGTCCTTAACTTTTAAAAGAGGACGATAGTACTATATAAACCAGAAACCGACCGGGATGTCATCGTCGTCATCTTGGAATTGTGAAGTCAAATCAAAAAGACCTGCCAAGTTTTATATCGATCATACTTGAATTGGCGTCGTCCCCAAAATTTAATTGGTTATAAACAAAATTCACCTGGACGGTAAACACTATTCAATCGTGCACCCATCAAGTACACGAATGTCTGCAAGGAACGTATCAACTGAGTAGATCACAACAACAAAGATTTATTTGGGTAGACTTTCAGAAACAGTCGTGTATAAAAAAATAAACATTAATAGATGGACTTTATAAAGTCCATCTATAAATGTTTATTTTTTTATACACGACTGAATGTGATTTAAATTGGACAGCACCCTATTAATACGATTAAAATCAATTTTCCATTATAAAGTCCATCTATAAATGTTTATTTTTTTATACACGACTGAATGTGATTTAAATTGGACAGCACCCCATTAATACGATTGTGATCGATAAATGTGTTCAGGTGTTGTATATCATCGATTTCCTTTGTTGTAATTATGATTTTTATCTTATTTCTCACTTTCTTAATAAGTAACCGACTGTAGCAGCAGTCAATGTTGCATTTGAAGAAATATTCGAAGTTTGTTGAATATCTAGAGCTTAGCAGTGCTACCCATTTGAAACAAATTTATTAGTATGAGACTATTACATAGCTCTTGACACTTAAAGTCGCCCTTGAATAAAATTAAATGGCTGCATTTTATAACACGAGGTGTGTAGGACACATTTCTATATTAATATCATAATTATTTGGAATGTTTAACCAGGTTTTATGTAAAACTGGTGGAGACAAGCTTGTCCTTTAAGATACTACTAAATAAACAAAATCACCCATTTATGATACATCAATTCCTGACTTTTCAAGTCTCAAATAACGTCATGCTGTAAATAAACACACCGGGGAAGAGCAAATATGGAAATTACAAAATGAAGATGTTATGTTTTTGTGAAAAGAAAGTAATTCTAGAATATGAATATATTCTTTTGCCAAATTTACTTATTGCGCAGCTCCCACCTGAGATTTCTAAATAGCTTACCTGTCATTGAAACTTTAGGACGTCCGGCAAAGCAATACGAGTCGATGGGTTCAATAACCATAATAACAAGCATGCAGATGACCGCAGCAAATACAATCTTCATTTTGAATATCTTTTTAAATCTACAATGTAAGACATTACCTAAGTTATTCATAAATATGTATATTTCAGTAAATAACATTATTAATTCTATATTAAAGAAAGACTCTTAGAAACCTTTATTCTAGACCTGTGAAACTCTGTGCTGCTCTATCAGATTCCATGTGGGAGTTGGGGGGATAAGTTCTGAAATAATTGCTTAGACAACCCTGTTTATACTTGTAAAGCTATCGTGCTCAGGTTTATCAAGTCACTCATACACTAGAACAACGAACTTACTTAAAAGTACTTTCGTAACCCCTGTTAATCAATAATGTAGTGTTAATTTCCGAACGACTCAATTGGAAAATGTCAGACTATTAGACTAATTTTGGTGTTTGATTTGTATACTTAAACCTGTGATATGTTGGGCGGTCCTTTTACAGAAAAGGTGTTTACAGCTATGGAACACCTTACTAAGGAACAGTTTTATGTAGAATGGAAATTCCATTATGGAATAGCAGCGACATTGGGATTCGAATGTCCACAGAAGGCAGTTATTTTCATCGCGTTTATACATTGACGTTTATACATTGTAGAACATGTTTATAATTATACAATAACATAACTGACATGGTTAGAACGATAGTTAATCATTGAACTGTGTGATAAATAATGGATGTGAAGGGCAAATATTGTTGATTGATTGAGCAAAAATGCAGAGATTTTGGACAAAAAACTGGTCCCCAGTTTAAGCTCTACTCATCTTCTTGTTCTTCGAGTACGATCGACATAAAACTGGACATGCTTCTTCAATGGGCAATTGCGCATCACTTTATAATAAATTCAAAGATGGCTGCGTGCACGCCATGCTCTGCTCCTCGTCCATTTAGTAGTTGTTCTGGTATTTGAGCACACTATTTACCATATAGATGGATTGAGGAAGTAAGTTAACATTTATATCACACTAGTCTACATTTTATCGCCATTCTCAAAATAACATTTATAGGCTTTTTTCCCCCCAAGAGACAAAAATGAGAATAGAGATGATAATATAAAGTTACATGATAATAAGATGAGAAAGTTTTAATGAGAGGAAGATTAATGATGTCATGAATGATCAGCCACTTGAGGATAACCCATGAAACCCGGCTTAAATTAAAACTAGGTTTATTTCCAATGTCTTGTTGGTCCTAATAAACATGTTTTTGAAGTGGTTGGAGACAAGGAGAACCCCACAGACTTCTGTAGGGGCGTCTATTCATTATAAACTAAACAGTGTACAGATCAGAATATCGCCCGCGTCACATTAATGTCATTTTAAGTAAACTAGCAATTATGTGCCCCCCCCCCCGCATTCGCGACGCACCCCAACCATTTTAGCATAATAATACTTACCAACTATATATACAATGTAAAGTGCCTGGTTCTATACAAACTCTACTGCTTCTTTGGTTCTGTACATGTTCTGTTATATACACACTTACTCTATGACCCTTGACCTCCTAAGTAGTTAAATATTGAATAAACCCACCATATCCCGGCATGTTACATATACGTCAATTAGTGTAAATATAATTATGTTCCGTATCACGATTATTTACCTAGTACACTGATTACTTATGGAAGTTATTCCCCACCTTTTTTGTTGCAAACAGCACCTATAATAACATCGGCTATTTAAAGGGAATCGGACAGATCTAAAATGTCTAAATTCGCGATTTTTTTTTCCTTGTCTTCTAAAACTTTGATCATAATATTTTTAAAAAATGTTGTAAAATGAAATCCCGCAGAACTCCACTTCTATAACATTTAATAGAAGGAAATCCACTTTCATATCCTGCAGTTAAAACTGATGATCACAGATCATGATTTAACTAATACAGGTCCATAAAAGATGCCTTCCCGCGTAGACACTGTGTGATTTGATGATACATTTTTACTAAAAACATATTCAAACCTTTCAAAACATTTTAATCGTAAGAAAATTACCCTATACTACCCTCGATTTTAAACTTCCCTGTTTGTCACGTGACTTGATTGAAGGGGAATCCATTATCAGCTTGCATTTACCAGCTTGTATTTAAGTCTCTCAATCTTTTCACAACCGCTAATAATTAGATCAACACGTACAAAATGTTCCTTACGTCACTCGGACAAATACATTGTGGGCGCGCCATGATTGTTTTTCAGGGAATCCAGTAATTTTCTAGTAAGATCGGCTGTCTCTACTTTCTATATACCAGATATGACATACTTTTATTGGAAATTACTACTCTGTAAATACTTTCATCGGAATGTATCTTTAAGCTAGTATTCAAGAACTTAAGTCGGCTAGATACTTTTTATACGCCCACATTTTCATGTGGACGTATATTGTCGTCGCCCCTGTCCGTCCGGACGCCCGTCCGTCCACAATTGTTTGTGGACACTCTACAGGTCACAATTCTTATCCGATATTGACGAAACTTGAAATATAGGTTTATCTCCAAAAGATCTCGGTTCCTTTCGATATTGGCATGTATTGGATCGAAACTTCATGGATTATGGCCCCTGTTTGTACGAAAAATCACGTTTTTTAGCTGGTGGACACTATATAGAGGTCACAATTTTTATCCGATTTTGTTGAAACTTGAAATCTAAGTTGATAATCCAAAGATCTCGGTTCCTTTCGATATTCGCGCATATCGGACCGTAACTTCCTGAATTATGGCCCCTGATTGTACGAAAAATCGCGTTTTTAGCTTGTGGACCCTAAAAAGGTCATAATTTTTATCCGATTTAAAAAAAAACGTGTTATTATATCACCGTTACACCCTAAGGATGGCTGAGTTCGAATTTCGTGAAAATCGGCCGAAAATTGACAGACAAAATGGCCGCCGTTTGTTCTCAAATAGCGTAAAAATATGGTATATCAAGGTTGTGGACCCTATAGAGGTCACAATTTTTATCCGATTTTGTTGAAACTTGAAATGTAAGTTTATAACACAACGATCTCTTTTACTTTCGATATTCGCGCATATCGGACCGTAACTTCCTGAATTATGGCCCCTGATTGTACGAAAAATCGCGTTTTTAGCTTGTGGACCCTATAGAGGTCATAATTTTTATCCGATTTAAAAAAAACGTATTATTATATCACCGTTACACCCTAAGGATGGCTGAGTTCAAATTTCGTGAAAATCGGACGAAAATTGACAGACAAAATGGCCGCCGTTCGTTCTCAAATAGCGTAAAAATATGGTATATCAAGGTTGTGGACCCTATAGAGGTCACAATTTTTATCCGATTTTGTTGAAACTTGAAATGTAAGTTTATAACACAAAGATCTCGGTTCCTTTCGATATTTGCGCATATCGAATTGTAATTTCCTGAATTATGGCCCTTGATTGTAGGAAAAATCACTTTCTTTTTAGCTTGTTCTCTATCCATCTCTCGAAAATGTGGGCGTATCCTGCCTGGCAGCCGCTGGTTTATTTTAGAAAGATAAATTAAGAAAAACAAACACCACTTATTCTTACTTAATATTAGTCCTATCGTATTATTATCATATTTCTAACTTCTGAACTAGGCCATTAATCAATAGTATGTCAACAAAATTAGCATGTTTAAATAGAGTTTCAATTTAACAGTAAATACAGCGTTATTATCTCTGTTTATAAGGAAATTCGACACTGACATTTCATGTTGAAAACTGGTTGAAAAACTGTTCGTCCGGCCATTAAAATAAATGGCATAACACGTGGGAGCAACACGTGGAAGTAATACGTCGAAGTCGTCAGTTTTTATAGCCGCCTGCTTGTTAGAGATTTAAAATGAATTTTTAAAAATATTCTTTTCAGTCACCGATAAAGACAACACTCAAAGACTATTTTTTTTTATTTTAGACTGCGCGGTAATACATTTATTGTTATTCAACATTCCATAGGCAGAAATTTACTTTACAGTTAATCAGAAGCAAGCTTTTTTTACACTTTATTGTCAGGAGGTTACTTCACAGTTCATTAACATTATGTTATCTTACAATTCATTGAAATAATCGTATTTTAAGGTTCATTAACAATAGTATTTTACAGTTCTTCTGCATCCGCAGCCAGTTAGTTTAAACTTCTTTAGAAGCCGGTTTTTTTTACAGCTTTTTTACAATTCATTAACCGAGTGTTATCAGGGCCCTGTTTCTCCAAATTTTAGTAGATACTTCAATTTTGATTGGCTAAGCACTAAAATCAATCTAATATTATCCAATCAAATTACTAAAATTTGGATTTTATCTCAGTTAAAATTTCGTGAAACAGGCCCCAGCAGAATGTTATCTTACACTTCATCAGCAGTAAGTTATATAACATCTCATTTTCGGAAGACTTTTTCCATACTTCGCCGGTCAAGACTTGAATGCGGATCCTTTATGCCACAAGGAAATTATTTCCGGGCACATACTATATCTGTAATTGACAACCTTGCAATAAATTGAGAATTTCAGTTTAACATACGGATGTTGCACCACAAAAAAGACAATACCAATGATGCCAGATGAGGGATGATGCGCTCAGATACTGAGGAAACTTTTAGTCTGCTATCCGATATTGGACAGATGCCTGTGGGAAAATAGACCCGTTGCAATACTGTGTATCGATGATATTTCACAGCTAGGTACCATATAGGCCCTGTGACCGATCCTGTGGCCGTGGCCTCTAAACCACAATCTTCCCAGTATCGGGACAGACGTTACTTACAGCATCAAGCCCGGCGACCACATCCGGGCTTATGGTGAGTTGTCGACACTGCATCTGCATACGGGGTCAGATCGGCTGTAAAACGATACAAAAGGAAACATTGACACCTGGGATTAGATTGATCACCATGTCACTCTATATATATATACAATTCAATTCATGCCGTATTATCAGTTTACGTTGGATTTGTTTTTTCAATGTAATTCAATTTTCTACTGGGCCGATTTTCGACGGGCCGAAGGCAGTTTGCCTACTTGATAACCCGTCTCTCAAATAATCAACAAATCAACTTAAATTTTGACTATCTGCTAAATAATTAAACTGATTTGATCGGCTGTATGAACCAGTTTGATACAAACAATCTTAAATCGGGGTTAAAAAGTTTTAATCCCTTAAACCAATTTCTCTCCGATACATGCGCCTTGATATTCATTTGCAATGAGGATTTGGTCTCTAAATCTGTTGTCGTAGAGAATTCTCACCACTGATAATCAATCAATTCGACATTCACATATTGTAGGAGATGATCGTGCTAAAATTATGCATTTCTTTCCTAAGTCAGCCGGACGCAAGTTGAAAATACGTGAGTCGAGAACATAACATGTAATACTATACAGAGCAAGACTGTTAGGACATCGAACTTTTCAAATTACAAAACAGTATAATCGATTTCTTACATCTTGGATTAAATATCAGAGTAAACAATTTTATCCACAGACGTATAAATCTACTCTCTGATCTTTAATGATAATTGGAAAAATACATCAGCATACCAAATTACAAAAACCTCTTAACGAGAGGGAATAAAACAATTCTATGTTCTACGGAAGACCTGTTCTACTAACTCGTCGTCTCTCGGAAGAATCCAATAATAAAGATAACGAATTTTAATATTAAAATACATTCTCATTACGAAGGTGATGAACAAGCTAACAGGAAGCACTTTCTGGTCGATTTGACGAGAAAGTGGTATGTCTTATTTGACGATTTTTTTTTACGAAAACCTTGCCCAACCCACGATATGCATGGCACATCATTGATAAATTTGAATCGGGATACTTGTAGGACGAATATATTATTATTCCGTGTTTATCGGGACAACAGGTGTTTAGTCAGGGTTTTATTCAAGGAACATTCACATTTAACTATTACATTTTTTAAAAAAATTAACTGGAATTCATGGCGTTGAAGGTCGCGAGACAAGGTTTTGTATTATGCTGAATGAATGTCACCGATAATATTTTGTTTAGAAAATCCCTTGGTTTGGCAGTTTTATTACATTGAGACTGGGTACATCTACGTGATCATTATAGCCAATCAAATTTAATTTTGCACAGTAGCAGCCATTATAATTGCTCCGGCATATCACGGCTTTGGCATGGTTGATTTCATGGTTGACCTTTTTTTTAAGTGAGAGATTCTTCACTTTTGAAACCTGGCTATAAATAGACTGGGGGTTAAAGTCCTACGCTTTTGCACTCACGACGCTAATGAAGACGGGCCTACTACCTCTCACAGTTTGCTTTGGGAAAATTTGGCCGGACAGTAATCGAATTCTAACTGACACTGATTAAGCAACACACGGGCAGTGTGATCAGTGTATGAATACAGTCGTAAGCATTGTCTTGTATACGCCCACGGAGTAGTTCGTTGTACATCACAGGAAATGTTATTTGTTGTTTATTTAGCCATTAATACGTCATGTATTTAATTCTGCTTTTGTGCACTTTTATTGATAGGCACCGTTTAAATTATTAACTACGGGTAATTATAGACAGATAGGAACATAATCATTACAATTCAAACTATTAGATACATGTACAACTAAAATTAAAGGTCACTGTCAAAAATAATTTGCGGGTATTATCAAGCGCATATGCTTCGGGCAAAATGCACACGCCCTGGTGTACATATGAAAAGGCTGCGTCTAACTATATGTCAGTCAGCTGAATAATTACTGTGTAGACTAGGAATCGATGTACTTTGCATATCAAAAGCCACATCCTTACGGGTTTGGGGTCCATTGCTTCGGACTAGGCCTAGGGACATTACTTTGTAACTGCAACTATCGTTATTCAATATTTCTATCAGATAATTGGAAATTTAATGCACAGAATGTCATACTGTTACATCGAAATCAATTTGGAAAAGGAACTTTGCTACTAGTATAGTCCTCCCATGAGGAAACGATGTTTGTCTCCCTTTATTTAGAATTTTATTCGGTCGCTGTTCTTAACGAAAGCACAGTTAATTGAGAAATGAAATGAAATGAAATGGGGTTTAACGTCCTACTGTTCTGCTCCGAACTGTGTTAATGAAGACGGGTATACGCCATACAGTGTGCTATGGGGGAAATTTTGCCCGGGCAGCGGCACTACGGCCTACTCTTATATCAAATTCCAACTGTCAAGGGATCTTTTACGTGCACGCCAATGTGTACACAGGGCCTCGGTTTTCCATACCATCCGAACCACTAGACAGCTCTCCTGACAAGGGAGAACTTGATGAACTTTCTCGACCAATGCAAGGATCGAACACCCAACCTCCAGGCTAGCGAGCCAGGGTCTTACCCACTTAGCCACCGAGCCCCCCCCCCCCCACAGATAATTGAACATGCAGTGAGAAATAGTTAACTGACATTTCGTGGAGAGTGTAGCGTTCACCTGACTTAAACAGTTCTGACCAATGAATCTCACTTTATTGGTCAGATATTACAAATTACGCATGTGCATATCATATAACAGGATATCATTTATACCAGAAGGTTGGGAGTTAAACAACATCGGAAGCAGGAGAATTTAAACTGGCTTAATTGCCCGGGTTTGGTTTCAGACGGCAAAGTCACGCTTACTATTACTAGAGATTTCCGGTTAGCTTAACTATAACCGACTGAACAGGAACACATTTTATTGGCATACTATGTATTATTTGATGAGAAATTAACTTCTGTCTAAAACAAGAATCTTTGACTGAATCTAGAAGAAAACATGACCATTAATCATAAGATAGGATATATTAATTGTGAAATATTTTAAATGATAAGCGAGTCATGGGTGTTATAACCAGATATGAGTATAATATACAATTATGATTTACACTATAAATATTAAACTGTTAATTGTTCTTTTGTAAACCTTCCGATTTTATATGTATAATTCAGAGAGAGAGAGAGAGAAATGGGGTTTAACGTCCACTCGACACAAACTAGGTCATTTCGGGACTAACATATGGTTTAATTTTATTTACATAATTCGCTTGCGCGTAGGGGTCTTTAGCAGTGGTAGGAAACCGGAGGACCCGGAGAAAACCCACGAGGTTGGACAGGCGACCCTACTCCTTGTCACGTACAACCGGGGATTCGAAACCACGCCAGTGGACTCAATGACAAACTTTATGATACAGCGTGCGCACGCTAACCATTCAGCCATCCACCCCACCCCCCTGTATAATTCAGTCAACATACCCACGTAATCAAAGTGATTATTTTATTAAACTAGACAGGATAGTGTTTATAACGAATAAAAAACTAATGGGTAAGGTAATCAAAACTTCTAAACTATCAATAGCAACATTTCATAGTGGAAAAACATCAGGGCCCCGATTCCTAGAAAATTCTTAAAGGACAATTTTGGTGTTAGTCATTATCACATATGTGATAGAACTGGTTTAACACGTTCCAAATATAATTTTAACACAGAGATCATTGCTACGATAGATACGTTATCAAGGTTTCAATAAACGGAATGGCGAACGCAAAAGGAAAACACGAGTTATCCTTCTATATAACTGACTGAAGTGACGAGTGATAACAGATACACGGCGAATTTCTGCTCACTAATAATTCCTTGGAAGACCAAAAGTTGTTATGTGAGACGGTGAAAAGGATATCTGACAATTCAAAACAGAAATTGACTGTGACTAGAAAATAAGTTAATCAGAAACACAACTTCAGCATAACCAATGGTGAACTATTGCTACAGAAATATTCACCACTGAATACTGGAATCTTATCTCAAAATGACCATGTCAAATCCTATTCAAGTTCTTTTTATTCCACAACCCTTTGTTAAATAGAACTTTTTTCTCCAATTAATCTAACTCTAGGGCCAAATATATGGAATGGACTCAAACGTCTCGAGTACACTTTGTCTAGGAGATTTGGGGACTAATATGTGGTTATTTATATTCCCAGTGGATACGTGTACAAGTCTAAGATGTGATTTGGCCCTGACATTGGCCTTCCAACCTTTCCGTCTATCATTTAAGGTTCCATATATGGTGAACACCATTGCTCATAAATAGGCTACACGAACAGTTGATTTTTACTATGCAATCTTTCTATCAATACTATACCTATCCTTGGCGACTGTAGATATCTATATCTCTACGTCAGTCACTCTCATATGTTTATATGTTTAAAGTTCAAGATAACGTGGATCATTAAGCCGATCAAATTTGCTCTATAAATATTCTCTACTGTGTCAGTGGATCGGTGTCCACCATGAAGGATCTCAAACCCCTGTTGCTTCTGGCATCTGTCTTCTCTTCAGTTACTGCTGGTTAGTAGGTCGATTTTATATAATTACTTTATAACTGGAGACGTTTTTCACCAGAAGATGAACTGATATTAAAGTCACAATATCCAAGACTAATATAGACTTTCAGACCATTATATTATATGAAACCATTAATTAATTAAAAGGGAAACATTTATTTAGGTATGTGCACCAATTAGTTATTGTCTTATTGTTAGTATACATGTAGCCCTCTTTTCCCTTCCGTGTTCAGGGGTGCTTTACAATGTATAAAACCGCGAAATACTTTAAATAAATTCAAGAACGAAAGCAATATCACAGCATATTATCAATAACACAAGTCAGAAAATAAAGAGTTAAATTTATCAAAACGTGAGTATGGAAATAAAATCCTATCTTATCTAATCAAATTATTCCAAAAATGATTTTAAACGGATTAACCCTAAAGAAAATTATGATCATCTAAACTTCTAATTACGTTCTATTATTTTGTACCGCTATCTTATTGTCTTACCAAGGATAGCTCAATTATTTCCCCAGGGAATAGGGTCGCCTGTCCAACCTTGTGGGTTTTCTCCGGGTGCTGCGGTTTCCTCCCACCCTACGCGCAAGAGAATTATTGAAATAAAATCGAACCAGGTGTTAGTCCCTCACTATCGCGGGCGGTCAAGATTTTAGCTGGCTTTGTTTTTGTTGTTGATTTGTTGTTTATAATTTGTTTGTTTGTTTGTTGCTTTGTCTGTCTTTTTGGCAACGGGGGTGGGGGTGGATGAGGTGGGTGTGGGGTAAACTTAAAAATTACTATCTAAAGAATTATATTTTCAGTTCTTATGTTTCTAAAAGTTAAATAAAGAAATGTTTATTGACCTTCTGGGGCAAATGACTTCTTTTATCATCAGGTTGATAATTATGAGTCAGTTAACTGACATGGTGGTTGTACATGGTTTATATGTGTCTTTGTAACTTACTTGATCCGGATTCAGAAACTTTATATTTTAGTCTTCTAATAAGCAGCACTGTCCTATTTGCCCTATTCAAAAACTGTATACTGTTGTGATTTTTCATTTGCAAGTTAAGCGAAGTCTGTGTTACCACAGTCCCCAGAATTGCGAAGTGTACTGGTCGCTTGCGCCCGGCCCATTCCATTGATTTGATAGTGTTTTTGTATTGCAAAAATGTTTGACTTCTGTGTTTCTAGTTAACTGTATATATTACTATTCCAATGTCTATTTTTTGTATATTGCCCGGGTTTCTATTCTGTGTTTCTAGTTCATTGTTATGTGTGGTGTTGTTCTCCTACTCATACCTGAGCTCTAGAGCAAATACTAACTTGTTTTCAGATTTTGGTATTGGAACCATAACGTCCGGTCAATATTACGTAACTGTCAACAAAACTAAATGGTTTACGAGCGGCCACACGTTTTGCAACCTGAACGGAAATACCCACTCTAATATTACTTTTAACGTTGATTATGGAAGTAGTGGTTTGGATAAGTTGGGTCCGTGGCAAGGAGATAGATGGGTCTTTAAAGATAACGATACAACCGTCGAGTTTAAGATGAAAACATACCAAACAGACAAAATCCCCGCCGTTATTTTTACCATGGTAAGTTTTTATCCTACTCTGGTTTCATTTCAGATTTTGTTATTGGCATTGTTACGGACAATCGGTATTATGTATCCATTAATGATACCAAATGGTTCACGAGCGGTCCAACTTTTTGCAACCTGGATGGTAAAGTTTTCTCTACCGTTGACAAGTCTATGACGTTCGATGGTGATTATGCGTATAGTGGTTTAGATAAATTGGGACCTTGGCAGTCAAATACGTTTAAGTTTAAAAATAACGATACTAGGATTGTATTTGAGATAAAATCTTACCAAACGAACGACATCCCAGCTGTTATTTTTACAATGGTAAGTCAGCCATTTCATATGCATTTCAAAATAATGATATCAAAGCGGTTAACGTTTATTGGTCCAGTAAAACATATTTCAAGCCTGCGTTTGTCAGCGCGAAGCACAAGCTAAAATAGTGCGAACTGAAATCTACCAAAAAATTGCATGGTGGATAGGTTTAGAAAATAAAATATCTTTATATGCGAACAGCTGAGGCTGTAATTTTATTATACGATGCAAATTTGATCTGAGTTTTCATTCAGTTTCTAAGCTTTCTCTATTCCATGTTCAAAATATATCGTGAAATATTAACAGTGATGTTGACGATCCTGAACCACTTGATATTTATATTATCACATCATTTTATATTTTTATTTTCAGAACTATGTGACATCAGCTAAAGGTACTAAAGCTACATCGGCCAATAAAACTATAAGTGGTTGGCCGAGTTTTAATATTCTAGATTTAAATCAAACGGTTGGGTATCTTGCCTATTCTGCTGATATGTTCGGGGACAGAAAGAAGAAGCTAGGAATGTAAGTTATTTCTTTTAGCCTTCCCAAATTCAATCAACAAGACAATGTTGGCGTATTCTTCCTTGTGTGCTAGCTTGGAAATAAGGCACCTGTCACAGAAATTTACACAACGCACATTTTATAATATATAAGTTGTGTGATAATTTGTGTCTGACAATATATGTGACAGATGTCTTATGCCCAGGCTTGCTTGTGTGCCAACCTATGATGCGCCAATAGAACTGATAGAATGTATGTCGCTTCCAAGCGTTTTGCACCAATTGATAACTAATGTCTTAAATACCAATGTTCTAGTCACACATGATGTCGCCGTTTGCCATTGTACCTGGTTGTTTCATTGGCGGAATTACATTTTCGGAACCCTGAAACTTGAACTCTTATGGGGGGACCTTCGCAAACAGAAAGAGATCGGGATAACCATAGCTGTATTCTATAGTATATTGTTCAATTTTTGAAGACGGTGAAGTTAATGCAAAACCTACACTCGCCCAATTCAATTACAATAAATCCCCATTCAAATGGATTATAACCACATTCTATTCACCAATAAACTTTCCTATTCTAAGCACTAACGGTACCACCACTAAAATTTTGAGCAATGTAGACTAAAGTCGTTATTGGGGGCTTCTTTGGGAGAAGGGGCTCTAAGGCTTAAGCTTCATTTTGTTGGGTTGGACTGGCCAATAGATCCATGTAGAACTAAAACAATATGTGAGCTAAGATTTAAATATTACATGAATAAAATATATTCAAATATCTAGGATAGCATATTGAGCATTGTATTTATTTCTGACAGTTTATTTAATTACTTATTTCTTATTTAATAGCTGGGGTCCAGACGCTCTGACCGTCCGTGATGGACTGGATGGGACAGGTCCAATCGTAACCTTCGATAAACTGGGAAATGCCTTCCTGTTTGCTCCCTTAGATAGTTTTATGACCACTTCGTATTCTATTGATCGGGATAATTCGACTATATCTTGGGGAACTATGGGAGGTGTTGATGAAATACCTGCTGGGTTCACATATTCTGTCATTATGGTTTACAGTGATCAAGGTGTAAACGGGGTAAGTTGAATATACAATTGGTTACAAAGACGCGAGACTTGCTAAATTGGCAGTAATATTCCAGGTCCCAAGACCTCGGTTTCAAATCTCAATAATATTTTGTATAATCGTAAAAGCGAAGATCCTTACGAAGGTAGTTCAAATGAGTCAAAAGATTGCCAGATTAAGACAAATTCTGGTATATTACAAGTAACGATAAAACTACTTAGTATTGCGATATAAAATATTAACTATAATATGACATCGAACTTCATTCTACCTACTTATGACATCGACCTTCATTCTACCTACTTGTCAAAGGTTTTTGAGAGGAACCAAAATTACCCGAAAGTAGTACCTTTTATAGTAGCTCTAAAACTGCACTATGTGTTAATATGCTCAATTGCTATATTTCCTATCAAAACAATTGCAAATACGGCAGCTCATATATCAGTTATGTGTTATTATTTTTTAGAAAGAGTTCAATTCAATTTCAGAAAGGAAGAGCATTTACATTTTAAATATATATTCCTTAGGTAATTTACATTTGAAATATATATTTGAAATATATATTAGGTATTATATTTTAAATATACATTCCTTAGATATTTACATGTTATATATATATATATATTCCTTAGGTATTTACATTTTAAATATATATTCCTTAGGTATTTTCTAAGTTTGGCACCATTATGAGATATTACCATGATAAAAATACAGAACGCCAGAAGACTGATGTATCTTTAAATTATATTGGTTACTGGACAGATAATGGTAAGCTTGTTAATAGTTTCAATTTATATTTTATTGGGAAATGCACGTGATGAGCTTGATTAGAAGTAAATACTAATCCAATCTGGTTCATATGAAGATCGTTATTAGAGTATAAATTTCATTGTGAATAGAGCTAACTTTGTATCTGGGAGAAGTATATATTTAAATCAAAGGTAACAATCTATCTATATATCTAAAACAAAGGTAAAAATCTATCTTGTTAGGTATCACAACTAGGAGTAAGGCAAATAGTGATTAGATGGTTGCCTTAGTAATATTATTATATTATATCGTTAAAATCCGATAATATCACATTCTGGTACAAAGGTGCCCTTATTCACTTTCTAGTGAATACTAACCAGGACTAGGTGTCCTGGCACAATACTGAACCGGTGTCACTATAATGTATTTAGATCGCTGCCACTATGATAATATCGCACCAGTGTTACCTGTATTTAGACCGGTGCCAGTATAATAACACCAAATCTGTTTATCCATATTTAGACCGGTGCCAATATAATAATACCGAATCTGTTTTGTTTCTATATTTAAGGTGGTTACTACTATTATAATACAGAACCCGGTAAGAATTATGAGCAGACAATGTTGGACATCAAACAAGATATGAATAAAACACAAATACCATACAAGTAAGAAAACATATTATCTGTTCCTAAACACTTGCCAACATTTTCTATTATAAAAACTTTTACCCCGGATTTGTCTCTTGTGTTTGTTTTGTTGTTGTTTTATTTTGTTTTATGTTTACTTTTATATTTTATTTAATCTAAAATAATTGATGAAATCTTGTAACTCTTACACATGTTCTAATTACATACAATGAGTTTTGAAACGCTATAAAACCTAGATTACTGAATGATATAGATGTCGGTAATTTATCTCAAATTCAGTATTTAGATTAAAACATAGAACAAAAACAACAACAGTCTAACGGGTACATTCCTTTTATAAGAGTGTGGACCGAAATTTGAATATAAACTACAATTAGAACATAAGTAAATGTTGTCCTGTATTTTAAAACAATATAACCCTGCTTGTATAGCGCACACTTCAATAGCATGTTCTATGTTAATTACAGGTATATACAACTGGATTCCTGGTGGTATTATAAAGATACAAACGAAGCGGTCACAAAATGGGAACCTCGTCCTGATATATTTCCGGACGGTTTAGTGTAAGTTGCTGTGTTTGTTTTACTCATGTCTCAAATAAAACATGAATTAATATCACTATGATATTATAACAGTTCAGTTCTTTAAGGTTTTTCAACAACTGTGTTACTAAATCATCCAGTTTGATAATGTCCACAGTCTCGACCTTTAACGTCAATCACAATTTATCTGCTAATGTCGATCGCATTAAAACTGGACTACTGGACATTTTCGAAAAATTTAAAGGACGCAATTTGTGAGATTTAGGAGTGGAACGTAAAATCACCAAAGAAGTTATATGGACTATTTTGAACCATGTCTACCAAAAACCATAGTCCTTTAAATATGAGAAAGTTACTTGTGGCGTTTTTAGTACCAGCATGCTATATTACATAATATTATGAAGTGCACTCATTTTTATGTTATGAAATATAGGAAAGTGGGACAAGAACTGGGATTACCATTAGTGCTTCATAACAGATATTGGTAAGTTATAATTTGTGATTATTTAATAAGATATTAAGATAACATTCCCGTTATTTTTCTTATTCAGACTCACTGTTAACTAGCACAAATACTAGTATTTGTCATTTCAAATTGTATTACATGTATTAAACGAAACGAAATTAACATTTGATTTCAATTAGATTTTAAATATATCGGCTATCTATATGAGGTCATTCCAAGACTTGAACGTGATAACTTTTATTTTACGAAATCTGATCTTGCGAACTATTTGATCGATAATTTTTGCGAATTTCGCTTATAGTAGGCATTTGTTTTTGTATTGCTTAAGTGGGTTGTATAAGGTGGCATGTTCATTTTAACAGAATTATAACTGAATTTACATGCAACTCGTAATGTATTTTGACCAATATGTTAAACGCCCCGAAGGTGATAAGTTATTGTTCAAATAATATTGTCTGCCTCATCATTTATTATAAACTATTTAATAAATAAAAGTGTTTAATTGGGTTTTATTGTGTTTATCTGTTACAGGTCAAAAGATACACCATACGCAGTAAACTACAAATTTCTGAAAGGCCTTGGATTAAGTGTTCCAATTACAACCGTATGTTAATCTCCGTAAAGTTACACTTGTGAATTGATCATTTAAGACAAATACTAGCCAAAATCGTATAAGGATATGTTCTGTAGTCGTCCAGCAGCAGCTCGCCAAACCTGGAAATATAGCCCACCTAATATTTTTTGATGGATTATAAATCTTTAGTATGTGTCGATTCAGAATCCGGATGCCACCCTGGCACGCGTGGGGAAATTTAAATATTCAAGATGGTCTGGTTTCGGTTCTTTGTGCTCGACATCAGCCATTTTAAGAAGAATCGGTGCTGGTCAGACAACTCCTATATGAATAGGACTTGTTATATACTTTAGGATTTATGTGCAGGCTAAAACATAATGTAATCCATTGAACGAATTTAACCGCTCACGTACCTGAGGTATTCTCTTTAGTGCGACCCGGCCTTTACTTTTCTAAAATTCTGGGCAAAAAGAATACTATTAAGACAAAGGTGTGCGGGGCATTGTTAGTTATGTCAACTCGGCAAACGGGAAGTGGTATCAGGTATTCTAGAAATAGTAGGCATACCCTTCCCATGCACAATACTGGTCACTGCTTATAACCAACCAAGCCAAAAAGGCTATTGGGTTTAAGGTAACATTGGGGCCAAAGGCCAGAAACAAAGTCCCAGGCGCCTAGCAATGAACAGAGATTTTATTTGTAGTGGGTTTTTCAGTATGGCCATTTTTAAAGTCTTTATAGAAATGTTGGTTTAAGCCAAATATTAAGTACCGGCAGTTATGTGAACTAGTAACTGAAAGGGGCATTATGTAAGAGCTAAATCTGTCTATGTCCTTATTTTGGCTTCAAATATCATTTAGACATTTATTAACATGATAAACCCCCCATAATCAACGCTCTAGATCATCGGATGACAGAGATTTAAATGGATTCAAACTCTCGCTAGATTAAAATAATAACGATAAAATGGATAGTCGAGTCTAAGTCTCTCTGTACCGTTGCTACGATAATAAACAATATCGGCTACATCTTCTAGCACCCATAACTTCGCTCTGAATAAATTAATTTCAATGAAATTTTCAGTAGAAATATTTTATTATCTATTTTTGATCCATTATAGCAAGAACGGTCATCTCTTTATCTAAATCTTACATAATACACATTTAATAAGTATTTTTAATTTTCAGAGATTCTGGGATTTCCTGTTACAAAGAGCCAAGACCTGGGGTCTCATCGTTTACGAACAGGTATAATTCCTTTACTTCAGAAGAAATTTCTGACAATGCAAATTAAACGTTCAAGCAGTCCATCAACTTCGATATTACATTGTATATGGAGCACGAACTATACAAGCTACTCTCGACGTCTTCGAGGATAAGCATAATAATAATAATAATATACTTCGGGGGAGGGGGGGGGGTCTTATTTATTTATTTAATTATTTATTTATCTCTGTTTATTTCTATAAATTTATACATTAAAGGATTGGATGTATGTACAATTTATGTTTCTTGAAGTGATGAAAACTAATTTGACCCTAGCAACAACCTGGATGGACGCCATGGCTAAATCAGCAGAGAATAATGATGTTACTATACAATACTGTATGGCCCAATCTCGACAGGCACTACAGAGTTTAAAATATACCGCTGTCACACAGGTAATATAGGAACTTATCAGTATATGTTTCTATTTATCATTCTTCATCTTTCGAATTATGTTGTCACTCTTGTCTGTCGGTCCGTCCGTCAACAATTGACTTGTGAACGCTTTTCTTTTGAAATTTGGTGGGAAGCACTGAGGTCAAGAGACGAATGAAACATCGATTTTTAGCCTTCCACGAAAATCTTATGAAAGCGATCGTGTTTGTAAATTTAAACGGATGTTTAGGTGGGAAGCATTGGAACCATGAAAGGATGAGCCGTGTCGATTTCACCGTTCCGCGAGTATCCGTTCCGGAGTTATCCCTCCATTTCCAACAACCTTGTGAACGCGATAGAGGCTGTAATTTGTAACGGATGTGGGAAGCACTGGGGTCATTAGAAGACGGAACCGTGTCGATTTTCAGAGTTCCGCGACTTTCCATTGTGGAGTTATCACCCCTTAACCGAAAATCTTGTGAACGTGTCAGAGGCTATAGTTTTTGATGGATTCTTTATAAATATGTCGGAAAGCATGGGGTCATGAGCGGATTGCTTTTTTGCGTTCCGTGACTTTCCGTTCCGGAGTTACCCCCGTTTGCCGAAAAATTGTGGACTCGATAGAGGCTGTAGTTTTTATTGAATGTTGGTTTTTTTTCTCAAATAAGGTGGGAAGCATTGGAGTTATGCGAGGATGAACCCTTTCTATTCTCCGTTTCGGGGTTTTCCCGAACTCAGATCTATTTACGAAACCTAAAAGAAATCATAAATTTAACGAACGATTATAATTGATTTCATTTGTTCTTTTTCAGGCCCGTGTGTCAGATGATTATCATTTACAGCACGATCAATGGAAGATCGGAATAAGTTCGCTGTTTGCTCATGCTGTAGGCGTGGCACCATCTAAAGATACATTCTGGACAACAACCAACCAACCTGGAAATCCTTTCAGTAAATTTACTTACAAATATTTTTTACGGCGTTTCTAAAATTTATTAAAAGTACTAAAATAATCTTCGGCAGTTTTAATTTGCGTGTGTCGTTAATGTACTGTTACTGTAACGATTTTGTTCTTTCTTGCGATTATAATTTTGACTGCACCTATGAGTACCTGAGTAAAGTGTACCGTAAACAAAAGGGTATGTTAGTCGAATGCCTGGAATGGGGTTCAACACAATACTTCGGTCATTTTGAGACTAATATGCGATATTTTTATTTGTGTAGTTATGTGTGCGCTTCGAATTCCATCTGCAAAGGGTTCTTTTATGTCCACACCAATATACTCACGTTAGCCTGGATTTTTAATCCCTCCCTTCGGGGTTCACTACTAACAAGTTATAAGAACCGGGTTCGAAAAATACCAATGGTTCTTCTCGGCCCACTATTGGATTCGAAAGAGTGCCCCGTCACTCGACTACCAAGAACCTAAGTGGTATGTACGAATATATTTATTTTATATCCCCTTTACGTATTTCAGATACAACAGAACAATATCCTGCTCTACAGACACTAGTAGCTGTTTTAAGTACTGGACCAGTTGGACCCAGTGATAAAATTGGTTACACAAATAAAGATCTATTAATGAAGTAATTATGGCCAGTTCATTTACTTTCCTAACAGCAATCAGAGTGAGACACAGAAAATCACTTGATGAGCGATTCTTGTATAGGCAACATAAATTCTTCGGAATTAACTACATGTAGTATTAAAAAGGCCATTGGAATTGGTCTCACTTGGCCCGGTGGGTTTCAATCCGATGGAAAAATCAGCTTTGTGCAATTACTTTTCAAATTACAGGCCCCACACTTTTAGTGTATATTCATTCACATATGTTTATGTTTTAATATAATTGTATTTTAATAGAATACATCTGATTTTCAGGTGTTGTAATTCGGATGGTTTGATATTAAAGCCTTCCAAACCTGCTACAGCTATAAATGATCAAATTATCGAGGTAAGTTAATCAGGTTATTAGTAATACACAGAAGCATTATTGCCAACCAAGAGCCAATACATTCAATAGTATGACAGTATCAGGACTACAGTCAAGAATTTAATCAGATTAAAACCACTTGTTTCCATTATTAAAAATGTGCATTGTAGAAATACCCAACGACTTATAAAAACGACGCCTATTTTGCAAAAGCCACAAACGGTGTCAATATGTATAAAATACCACCAAAACATATTGTATTTTATTAACGCAATAGTCTACCAACGTCATTCACGCGATAACAGGGGTGTCAGTCTGACCGCTTTTTCAATCACGTTTCAGATACCGTCAAAGTTAACATGAAAGCTATCTTTTAGAATCGCCTAAGGCGTCGCGTTTGGTAGCATCAATGCTAAGAATGGCTAATTCAACTACAGTGCCTGCATGATGAATTTCCAAATGCTACCGAAACTACTGCAATAGGACGTCACGCAGGAATTGGTTTTGTTGATAACAACCGTTTCAAAACTATTTTCATATAGCTGGTCTAGTTACTTAAGTCTTATTTGTTCTTTTGAGTTGGATTAACAATAAGGACTGTTTCTTTTACAGACAGCTTTTAATGATGGTAGTGGAGCAAGTGGTCAAGTATGGTCGACGTATACAGATTTTGGTGAATATAATAAAATACGGTTTGGTATTATAATGGTGGCTAATCTATCCAAACCTTATTCTATAACTCCTTCTAGGGCATCTTTAGATGTGGAAATTAATCAGGTATGGTCTTTATATATCAAGTGCCTTATTATCTGCCCTTGCTATAATCCAATTTCTTCTTAAAATAGTCCAGTATGTTTCATATTGATAAGCAATATTTACGGTGGCTATTTTCCATGGGTCCAGTTTCTGTCACCAGAGGATGTATCGTATTTTAATCAGTCGACAAGATCAATGAAAACAGTCGTCCATAATTGGAATCTAAATGTAGCAATGGTTAATGAGTCGATAATGCTTCTAATAATTCTGCGGTAATATATATGGTTGTTCGGTATATGTCACGGACCTTATACTGATGGAAATCTTAACTTGTGAAATATGAGTGCTTATTTCCCCATCAAGATAAAGAGCTATAGATGGTTGTCGCTTAATCTGTCGTGATTCCGAGCAAATTACTTCAAATGAACATCTTGATTATACGTCGTTTATTTGCCATGGTACTTCGGAGTTTGCTGAAAACAAGTTAGGTACAACTTGTATTCAAACGGCGAAAACGATATGCTAGGCGTTTCAATTTATCGAAGGTATTATATAATAAAACTACGTCAAATATGACGTATCAAGTAAAAATCATATCGTAATTATTATACAGGTCTGCTGTGTGTAATGACAGCAGTCGTACAATGGGGAAGTGGTGGGTGTGCTTATTCTCTCTAAAACATTACTTACCATTTTGTGCTTTTGCATAGATCTGTTATATTTATTTTCATTATTTCTAGTACCCCGATTCTGTGATATATGACAGCAAAAACATGACCAAATCTACAAGTTTCAGCGAGACCAGTCCATTTAGCTTACCAACATGTTTACTGGATAATGCAAACTACTGTCTTTATTATACCAGTCCTGTTATGAAGCGAGGGTGAGTTGATATTGCTATCCTAATATCGAATGATAAAGTCATGATCAATTTTGAATATGATCTAGTATTTACTTAAAATTTGCGAGAATCCTGTCCGATTTCGAATTAAACATATGTATTTATATTTTTCTTATTTCTTTCTTCAGAAATCAAACGATAATTATCTATGGCGGAACAAACAAATTTGTCTGGATGTCATCACAAAGAGTTGCAAAATTATGGGTGGACGATGACAATGTTGCAGTCACTTTACGAGGTGCTGCGAATGAAAATGTTACTTTTGCTTATTCTGTCAACGGAGTAGTGAATACGAACACTCACATCATTGATGCCAAGACACACTGTGCCAGCATTGTGATCTACAGTTCCACAGGGAAATCCCCCATTCCTGCTAATTTCAACTGTACAAATTTGTTACATACCTCTGCCAAGCATTCCAAAAAGGCACAACCTCATCAAAAATAAAATATTATCTCAAATATTTATGTGTTTCCATATTTTTATTTAATAATAAACGACCCCATTAATGGCATTAATATCAAAGCTATATTATACATATTACCACATCGAATTTTCAGTTCCTAAATAAATGAGTGTTCAAAGGGTTACCAGGGATAAATGGGCCTGGTTATAAAAATACACAAATATAAAAGCAACGTTAATGAATCTAGCCTTTCGAAAAGGGTGGACATTTTGCACAGGAAGCGAGCAGCTGTGCACTGAGAGCCTGGAAATAATTCTTGTATTATTAAAGCACCACCGTTAATATGCGTGAAATGCATAGGCGTACGAGGCGGGGAGCGGAAGCGCACCGCCCCCACCCCCCCAAATATTTTCATAAAAAAAAAATAAACTTGAACTAAAATGGTCATTCATATATTAAAAGTATATAAATTTTACAAGTTCAAAAAGTCTTCTATCTTGATTCTAGATATATCTATCTTAGATATGGATAAAGAATGTGAACTGTCATATAATGAAAAACGTGGCAAAAGTAAATCGTAATACGGAATATATAGATTGTAAATTTGAACTCTTTTAAAATGGTCATTCATATATTAAAAGAAGATAAAGTATATACAAGTCTTCTATACATCTGAGATCTGGATAAAAAATGTGAAGTCTCATAAAATGAAGCAAAAGTATATCTCATAAAATGTGGCAAAAGTAAATCGTTTGACTTGTTCTTGTTTTCGTAGTAATAGAGCTTGTATTTTAAAGATGACTTTTACCAGTTTTTATGCTGCAACTGACATAATTTACTACCCACTCCAAATTACTAGAAAGTTTTCGAAATGCCTGGAAATCGCGTCAACGGCCGTCTGGTTTTCAAAATTTTCTGGGGGAGGCCCCCCACACCCCCCGTCGGACGCTTCGCTTAGCTGGTAATCACGATTTAGAAAATGCCATAAACATTTCATTTTAATCCTATTTTACTTGTCACAGAATCAGATAGTCTATCGGGCACCATATTCAATTTGAACTCGTGAAGAGACCGCTGCAGGCTGCAGGAAGTAGCAATGATAGAGACTACAATAATCAAATAACCATACGTGATTACTGGACTATATAAAAACAGATTAGATCATGAAGTCTGTGACATATATATAAATGCTTATAGCTCTCGTTTTCCTTCAATGTCTATTCGATATATTCAAACAAACTCTAAAATCGGAAAGAAAATAAACAACATTTCATAAAACTTTATGCGCTCGCAGAAAGTTTATTAGTCTTAAATCTATAATCCCCCAGCCTAAACAATGACCGACGGTACATTCAAATACAACAGAAATTACCGGTATTTATTGGGGAATGTCCAGTGTCACTAACATCCAAAATATTCATGTGGTGGTGCTAGGTCAGTGGCACCGTCAGAGCCTTTAACCTGTAATTCCCAGTTACTGAATTTTGAATTGTTGAGTGTTGATTACTTCAAACGACTAGTCCTGGAATGTTGAGTGTTGATTAATTCAAACGACTAGTCCTGGAATGGATAAACTCGTTCATTCGGGGTCGCACACAGAGGGTTAGTATAAATTCGAATATGTCCGACGTGGTACGTTTGAACTACGGAGTACCTCAAGATTTAGTTCTCGGTCAGTCTACTGCTGAGAAATTGGTTCATGCTTTCGTTACCTCTAGATTAGATTTCTGTAATAGTCTATTACATGGACTAGCTGACGCAGACTGTGAGGGGGGGGGGGGGGGCTACAAAGAATTCCAAATTCTGCAGCACGGCTTGTTACTCGGAAACATATCACCCCCGTTCTTCGCGACCTGCGCTGGTTTCCCATAGTACAAAGATGTCTCTTTAAGCTTTTATGTTTAACCTTTAAATTTTCGATCTTTCCGTTCTAGTCCGGTGGCTGAAGGGGGGGGGGGGGTCGCCACCCGATCTGTGAATTTATGAGACCACGTTTTTCTAGACCAGTTTTTTGCGTAGATTCCGAATCTGGGTGGTGATCAGGCCTTTGAGGGGGCGTTTTCGAGATACAGGGGGTCCAATGTCTACAATTGGGGGGAAATGTGATTATGTTCACTTAAATGATGATCATGTTATATATTAATAAAACATACATTACTAGGACTGTCCATCTCTAACTAAGTGTTTATGATGCCCCTGTTCAACTGTTTTGATTTGTGGCGAGGTTGGGCAGGTGGTTGCAGGTGTGCGTGTGTGTAAGGGGGGGAGGGAGGTAAAATTAGCGGGAAATGAGTTCACGTCGATTTAAATGATGATTTTCTTAGAGCTTGATAAAATCATTACTTTTTTAAATTCCGCTGCACATCTCTAAATATGAGTATAAATTCCCATTTAATGGGGGTGGCAGTGTGGGCAAAAAGTGATCAGGCGTTTTAGGGTGGGGGGGGGGGCGTTTTCGAGATAAGGGGGTCCAATGTCTACAATTGAGGGGAAATGTCATTATGTTGACATAAATGATTATCATGTTATATATTAATAAAACATAAATTTCTAGGACTGCCTACCTCTAAATAAGTGTATATGATGCCCCTGGACAACTGTTTTAATTTGTGGAGGTGGGGGGTGCTGGTGTGCGTGTGTGGAAGGGTCGGGGGGGGGGGATAAAATTGGCAGGAAATGAGTTCACGTTGATTTAAATGATGATTTTCTTAGAGCTTGATAAAAACATTACTTTTTAATATCATTGCACATCTCTAAATATGTGTATCAGATTCCCATTGTATGGGGGGTGGGGGTAAAATGTATTTTTGGGGACAGAAAGCACTTGGTTCAAAATTGACCTGAAAAGTGGCTTTTCGTTAGCTTTTTATTTCGTTCAGTACCAATTTCATCATTCAAAATATTATATTATATTTTGCAATCTGATTAAAACACTGATCCTATTTTGTTCCGTTTTTTATAGTTCAAAATTTTGTCTTCATAACACTAGGATCTGGAAAAGTTGTTGTGTAAGCCGCGTTCTGGTTAATGTGAGGGATTAGCCAATGAAACGGTCTGTTACGGCGGGTTCTTATCAACGCTGGTTGATTAATCAATCTCTGGCGTCTTTATGGGTGGTCAACAGCTCGCATATATCCTGTGGATATGCTTCAGATACCCATTCGCATAGTACATCTTCATTCCAGCCTCGTATTGTATCGCAATGTGATCTTGTTCGATCATTTAATGTGCAGCAAAAGACTACCCAGGCAAGATGGTAATAAAAGAAACCATTAAAATTCCTCCAGAAAATCTTTCTTCTAATGTCATCTACTGATAAGTCGCCTTTTCCGTACATGGCACAAACACTTAGTTCTATTCCAGTAATTACGTCATCAGAAACATCATTTGCCTGTCCCAGCTCTTTAAAAATTGTTAGAAAGTTGGAATTATCTTGTAAAAGAAAAACAGATAGTCATTACCATTGAAAGCATGCAGGCCTAGATATTCCTAGACACTTATATCAAGATTAGTATTGAAAGTGTCGAGAATATCCTAGAACTGACAACAAACCACGAGTTGTTGTTGTTGTTGTTCTTAGCGTTTAACGTCCGCTTCCACCGAAGCAAACCACGAGGACACCAAACTAGCTTATCTACTCCTCTTTGTATTGCAAATTAATGGAGGCGCTGAAACGAATTGTATTTTGTGTTCTTGCTCGGGCGAAATAGACATCCCAATCATTCTCCTCGCACACGATGATCCAAAAATACACATTTTGATCGATAATGAGACAGGCAAAGGTAGAAAATATGACGGAAGGCGACTTACATCAGTAGATGACACTAGAAGAAAGATTTTCTGGGTGAAAAAATAACATGGCTGGAATGAAGATTTACAAAATGAAATGAAATGAAATGGGGTTTAACGCCCTACTGTTCTGCTCCTATACTGGGCTTATGAAGACGGGCATACGCCATACAGTGTGCTATGAGGGAAATTTTGCCCGGGCAGCGGCACTATCGCCTACTCTTATATCGAATTCCAACTGCCAAGGGATCTTTTACGTGCATTCCAATGTTTACACGGGACCTCGGTTTTTCGTCTCATCCGAAGGACTAGACAGCTGTCCTTGTCAGCCCCTCCACCCTGCATCACTGACAAGGGGAAACCACGTCGGAAAATCGGGATGAACTTTCTCGGCCAATGCAGGGATCGAAATGAAGATTTACAATGTGAACTGGTATCTGAAGCATATCCAAAGGACATATGAGAGCTTTTGGTAAGCAACCATGAAGATATATATCTCGCTCATATTATGAACTTTTGATTTTGAATCTTCTGATAAAGACTAAGAATAAACTAACATCTAAACATGTCTCTGATTTACTGTGTTTTCGATTTACATTTCCAGATCTCTTGAAAAGTACCATCATAATTTAATATTTTGAATGACCAAATAAAGGTACTGAACGAAAAGCTAACGAAAAACCACTTTTAATTAAGGTCAATATTGAACCAAATGATTTCGGAATCTACGCAAAAAAATGGTCTCGAAAACAGCTCGGGTGGCGATTCCCCCCTTCAGCCACTGGACTATTCCTATGTATTTAAAAGAACTTCGTTATATCCAAACAAGATAACCCGATCATCAGAAGCTGTCAGACTCAACTTGCCAACTATGTCAAACAAAACATATGGCTACAGAGCATTTATGTACAGTGCACCGAAGGCTTCGAATGGATTACCTGCTACAATTTGAAATATTGAAACATATGCGTCCTTTAAGTCATCTGATTCTATTTCTGGTGTGACAGAAGTGGAGGTGGGGTCCTGAAAATTACGATTTCGTCAGAACCTACCAGATGGATAGAGTACTCGTTTCTATCTATATTTAACAAATGAATGATCAGAAAAATACCGATGACCTGGTCTGAATAGGGTAAACTGATAATTCGTCATTAAGTCTTGGGTATCTTCTGTAACTTTTGTAAGCAGGCATCCATTTATCACAAGCAGATTTTGTTAATTGGAAACCTAAAGTCTACACGGTAACAATTAAAACGTATACGACATCTTTGCGCACTAAATATGTTAACAGTCCGATAACTTGAACATGTAAAGATGACAACATACCTCTTTGATGCCCTTGGTCCCTTTTACCATGAAATGCCAAAGCTAGTGTTTTGTATGATGACAAACTGTCTTCGTTTAAAATTATACATCCACATAAATAAAGCCGATTTTGAAATATTATTGATTGTGTGTTCCTGTGTCGACACAGTCGATCTACGCCAAAAATGAAACCAATTGGCCTCTTCTTTATCTTTCCGAACAAACAAAAATAATCGTATAAAGCTTCTTCCATCACTCATCGAATAACACACCATATCCACTTATTAATTGATTGTTTATTTGGACTCAAATCAAAGAGATATAACCCTTTTAAAAGACTGAAAGTTTATGAGACGTGCGATTTGGTTTAATCTTATATATTTATACAAGTTCAGATAAGTATAAAGGAGCTAGATTATTTTTGAGAAATTCAACATTGGGGCAGGTCCGTAAGTAGGAGGGGGGGGGGCTGCAAAAAGTTTCGCCCCCCCCCCCCGCATTGGGGCCTTAGACCAAATGGGCTCAGACTAGCAATTATTTGCACATTTACTTCAGTGTTAAATGGCTGTAACATCACAGGCTGTAAGTTTTTGCGCAACATTTCGTTTGTACCAATCTTTACAGTACGTTACAAAGTGGACCGCATTTGACACTCTCCTCGTCATAATTTTGTAGAGGAATGATCGTTTAGATTTTTTGCTAGGAGGATTTTGTGTTGACTTTTTGGTCTAGAATTGGAGAAAAGGGATCAAATTTGCAATTTTATAGCAATTTTGGGTATTACTAATGATATTATAGCGGAGGAATAGGGGGTGTAAAGTGTCTTTGTGTAGAGCAATCATTACGTCGGAAGTGGCATTTTGACCCCAGTCAACATCAAATACCCCTAAACGAGAGAGAGAGAGAAATGGGGTTTAACGTCCACTCGACACAAACTAGGTCATTTCGGGACTAACATATGGTTTAATTTTATTTACATAATTCGCTTGCGCGTAGGGGTCTTTAGCAGTGGGAGGAAACCGGAGGACCCGGAGAAAACCCACGAGGTTGGACAGGCAACCCTATTCCTTGCCACGTACAACTGGGTATTCGAAACCACGCCAGTCGACTCAATGCCAGACTTTATGATACAGCGCGCGCACGCTAACCATTCAGCCATCCAACCCCCCATCCCCCTAAACGATCAACCACCTACAAGATTAATATGATGAGGAAAGTGCCAAATGGGTTCCCCTGTGTGTCTGTAAAGTTTGGAATCAACGGAAAGTTGAGCTAAAAGGTACAGCCTGTGATGTTACAGCCATTTAAAAAGTCAACGGGCCATTGATTGCTAGTCTGAGCCCAAATTACAAAGCGCGGTTACTTCCCTTAGAAGTCAATCTTTAATCTTCCTGTCAATGAGTTACAAATGGTCCTAGAATGGCAATATGGCAGCCTCCTTCACGCCAAGAAAGTTGGACTGTAAAGATTTGCATTCGTATTTGAAGACGTTACCCGGCCCTGTGTTAGACCGACTTTACAATCACCCGGCAACATGCCTTGCCGTATTCAGGTACACGTAGCTGCTATGACATAGCCTATGTTTCATTTATGTTCAGTTTGTATTTTAGTTAATCGCTTTTGACGATAGTAGGGTAGGCTATCGGTTCTGTATAGTAATAGCATGAATGAGGTAGGTCGTCAGTCATTCATTGTGAGTCAAGACATTCTTTACGGAATGAACATCTAAATTGCTTTAAACTATTTATTTCGAAAATATTGTACAATGTAAACGGATAGACTAATCACCGGAATTCACTTAATATGTAACAGATTAGCCTACCCGAGTTGAGCGAAGCTGATGTGATTGTTGTCTTGAAAATATAAAACCTTCAAGTTCAAGTGATACAAAAAATGTTAAAGGGACTATCCCGATTAGAACAGAGCCTCAAAAATAAAAGTCTGAGTATGTATGAAATTTAAGCGCAAAAATATAGAGGAAGGGTGTATTTAGCTTGTCTTAAAATTTCAGCCCAAAATGTTGAGTCGTTTGGACATGAACGTCAAAACTGCTTATCCGGACACGTAACCCTTTTAAGATTTTGGGTCGATTTTTTTGTTGGGTGACCTAATAATCGATTCACATTCCTTTAGAGGTCTATACAGTGATTGACCCATGTGCTGTACTTGATAACGAAAGGTAAATTTCACCTACACATTATTTTTATAATATAAAAGTCTGGTTTTATCCAGACACCGTATAATACCGGTTGAGACACTGGTCTCCATTTTCAGATGAAGACTGACGGATTTGAGTTGTTTGAAAACGTATCACATATATTGAGTTAGTTGCTCGGCTTGAGGTAGAGGAATTTAGGGGATTTTAACAAAAAATTTAGCAGTTTTATTCTCCAAAATATTATCGGGATTGGCCCTTTAAATAATTTCATTTTCCGAATTGATTTTAATTTAGATCTACATGTAAATTGTATGATTAATTTTGTTTTAAAAAAAAAAGAACAAAAATGTGTGAAAATTATTTCATTGATGTCAAAAATATGTGACGTCATTGATTAGACGCGTCATAGAAATATTCCTAGGAGATGTGTAGTCTCACTTACCAGTTTGGCCCAGTGTATCTGGTTCCGATCTGAATTTTTTTTTTAATCAACAGTCTGTGGGTGACAGTTTTAGTTATGCTCCTGTGTTACCGGAAAAGAGCTTTGCTTTAGAAGAGCTTTGCTCTATATAAATGCCGGAATTCACTTACAATCACCAGAATTCACTTTGAAGATATCAGAATTCGCCCACAAAATTGACAGAGCCTTGGGATTTTATCGAAAAGGGCCAACTACAGAACAACAAGGACAAGATCAGTAGCGCTAAGGGGCCAATTACTAGTCCTAAAATGATATTGCATTTGTTATTTGCAATTTTTTAATTTAAATCACAGAGTGTGCTGGAAAAAAACACAAAATATAGCTTATGTGATGCGTCTATGATGATTTTTTACAGTTGCTATTGAAACCAGGAGAAAAAACTATTATAGCCTGTTTTGAAAATCACCCAAGAACCGATTTTATAATGCCGATAAAATTACCTTTCCAACCATACCAAATAACCATTGTTATGGTAGGGGTATTGGAAAAAATATGGACTTAAACCGCTAGCCTATATAAGTAGCCTATAATAATGAAATGCCATGGATTAGTAAAATTAGATAGCATACCATGGACTTACCGAAATTCAGTTTTGAGCTAGAGAGACAAAACTTTCCAAACGATTAGATAGAACTCATCCTTTACCTGCTTTTTAAGTTTATTTAACTTTTTATTTTATAGCTATTATATGTTAGTGACAAAAAGCATAAAATTACATGTAGGCTGACTGAATGAGCTTGGGGTAGCAAAAATTATATATTTTGAATTGAACAATATCTAAAAGAAGTTAAGAAAAATAGCTTACATCCCTTATAGGTTGGCCCATGCCTTGAGTTTTAGTGCTTAACTTAACAAGATTGTGTGTTGATTGGGAGTTAAAACTTCTATAAATAGTCATCGGAAAATCCTTTATTTTTACCTATTTTGTATTTTCAGAGAATTACCAGATTTAGCTCGACAGTATGTGATGAGAAATCTATTTATAGAACAACCAGTCTCCCAAGCTGTGATAGGACAATGGGTTGTTAATAAATTTACTAAGTAAGAACCATCATACAATTTATGTTAAAATTTCTTCAATTAGAGATTTCCAGTAGTCTATAAATACTCTAACAAGTCTAAAATCCTTTTAAGCATCTCCATAAGGTCAAACAAATTAAATATTTATTTCCTTTTTATTCTTCACCAAATTCTAACAGTATAGTATGTTATGTAGGTACATGTAGAAGGTAAATAAACATGTAGAAGGTTACATCAACATCAGGAAATTAGGTGTTAACTTAGTTTTTGTAATCCTTCTTAATTTAAAGTGTTTGACACTACTTGGTCACCAAACCTCTACTTGTATTGAATTGTATTTATACAAAGCAGGAAAAACGCAAACCACAAACCAAGCATATCATGAAGGTTACAAATCCAAATGTACATTTAATGTCCAATCTCTATGTGGAACCTCTGCCTTTATTTTATATTTTTTTATATGAATTCAAATCCAATCCAGAAAGTCTGAAAAAAATGACTACAAGTATCTGTTTGAAACGTATAAAGTATATTTTATAGAAATTTCTCTAGCAAAGTGTAAGTCAATGTATCTATTTTGGTTTTTTTTAGCGAACATAAATATGCTTGTAAAGCATTAAGTGAATTGCGGGTATGGTATGAACAGCCGATTCCTGGAGGTCAACCAGGATGGATTCTAAATCAAACGTTTAGAAATAATACAAAGGTAGCTCTACTTGGAGGGTGAGTAAATTCATTTGAATGTTATATATTATATTAAATTAGTTTTTTTTACAACCAAGATAATATTAATAGCTTCATTTTGTAAACTCTGTCATTTAAACATATATTCCTTCAACATTTGTCCTTCTATTTATAAAACAATAAGCTAGAGACTGTATCCAACAACAAGGAAACAACGTATAGTATTATGACAGGGAAATGGAATATTCCAAAAATAATGATTAAATGAAATGTAATTAAATACATGTACATTCCAGAATACATGTAATGGCCAGTTACTTTTCTGTTACATTTTATATTACATTTTACATTACAGTTCATTTCAAATATTAATATACTAATGTCCAAAAGAAAGTATACACTGTGCATTTTGTGCTGCATCAACCAAAGTCGTTTTTCCATGGTATATGATATTTGGGTGGAAAGTCAATTTGTTTCATATTTTTATTTTGTTTAGATATGTTGAGTTTGGACACAAGAGACAAACTCAGTAATGCTTTATCAAATGTTTTTAATCTAAACAAAACTTAGTCATACTTTGAGTGTGTATACTTTCTTTTGGACATCGGTATATATTGAACTATGTCAAGTCTCCGATTTTAGCATTAATGAAGTAAATTATGTGTACATGTATCTGGAGATAATGAAACCATCAGGCCACATGTTTTTATCATTCATTGTTTTACTTAATCGGCTCACAAATATTTAGTATTTTTATTTAAAGACTCTTGTTACTATGTAATTAAGCAGTTTCAGGTATAAAAAATCTGTCTTGAAGAAAAGATAACAGTAGAGCTAAAGATGGAGCTGTGAAATCAGTAGAAACATTAAATAACTATAATTTAATTTGTTTTTAATATAAGTATTTTTGATTTCGTATGGGCTTAAACTCTATATTTAATCGTTATTTAGGCATATAAGGCCTTTAATATATTTAAATGACATTTCAGAGGAAGTCCATGGATTGGAGGAAGATCAACTACTGTAGATAAATATGCTAAAGATATTCCTTTTTTAGATAAATATGGTCAAGATAGATGGGAGGTGAGAATATTGAACATATTAGTAAATACATGTAGTTTCACAAACTTTTCACTAATATTATGCCTGCTGCAGGTCTTTCTTTAGGCCTTAGATGTTATATAAATTATTAATTGGACATTTATTAACATGACAAGACCATAATCAACTCTTGATGCCATTGGATGGCTCCGATTTTAAGTAGATTAAAACGGTTCTGCCATTTAATTTTAAAAATGGAGATTCGAGGCTAAGCCTTGAATAACCAGCACTGTTGTTAAGATAATAAACAATCATGAATGCATCTTGTCAAAACTAAAAACAATGATAACTTTGCTCAGAATAAAGTAAATTGAATAACATTTTCAATATATTCAAAACTAAAAACATTAATAACTTCGCTAAGCCTCGAATAAGTAGCACTATGGTTATGATAATACCCAGTCAATGGATACATCTTATGAAAACTAAAAACATTGATAACTTTGCTCAGAATAAAGTAAATTTAATGTAATTTTCAATATATTCATTTTGTATTATTTATTTTTGAACAATTATCACAATATAGCAAGAACAATCAGTTCTTTATCTAAATCTTACATAATGTATCTTTAAAGAAAAGTTGTACATGTTTTATTTACCTTAAACCATGAAATTTAAACGATAAATAATCAAAATCCATCCCAGATACCTTTTGTGAAATTTTTATGATGTTTAAACATTATTAAACACATAAAACAGTTCAGAATGGTGTAAACTCCCGCTTGGGTAAACAAAAGTGGTCTCCCTTCTATTTCGTAATAGTGACAGAAAGGGTTTACATACCTTACCTTACCATATATATCAGTGACATGCAACATATAGTTCAGAATGATTTCTCTATCTTTGAAATCAACAATTAATACCCAATATATTGTTGTTAGTATTTTTCTTTTTAGTGTGTTTTACATTTTATGGTTGGGTCATCCGAGGGTAGTGAAGGTGTCAGTAGAGATATAATTGAAGTGCTCAATAATAGTGGTCTTATGAAAGTGTAGGTACATCTATTGTTTTTGAATATCTTACTTGATTTTTTAAAAATATGAAAAGTAAATAAGGAAGGCATCTTTGTACAGAAGAAAAGACCTAGCTTTAAAGCAAACATATTGTTACAAATTTATATTTAAAAAAAGTGAAAATCTACTATATAATTATAATGCAATCTTCTTTTCTGTGCTGAGTTAATAAGGAGCTTTCTTTGGTCAAAGGAATGAAGAGCAGAGATTTCTATTTTACTGGGGAGCAAAGTTGTTGGCCGAGAAAGTTGTTCAGATTGGACAGTACATGGCATATGGCTGTCTTCATTAGCCTGGACGTTAAACCCCATTTCATTAGCCAGGATGATAAACCCCATTTCATTTGATTTCATTTCATTAGCCTGGTTGGTGCAGAAAAGTAGGACGTTAAACCCCCATTTCTTTTCATTTCTATTTTACTGCATCTTTTTATATGTTATAAGAATTTTATATGATTGTATTCTTTATTGACAGGGATGCCACGGATTCAAACCCACTGATAACACCAGCAGGATTTCAGTTTCTGTTAATGGACACACAATCTCAAGTCTGGTATTTCATGTTACAGTATCTAGAAACTGTTGAGGTGAGTTAGCCCCACCCCCAATCTGTGAGAGTAAAGGTTAAACAAGCAGTCCTAGATGTCACAGGACATTGTAAATAAAATCGTACTATAAAATATAAAGAAATAGAGAGAGAGAGAAATGGCGTTTAACGTCCATTCGATACAACTAGGTCATTTCGGGACTAACATATGGATCAATTTTATTTCAATAATTCGCTTGAGCATAGGGGTCTTTAGCAGTGGGAGGAAACCGGAGGACCCAGAGAAAACCCACGAGGTTGGACAGCTGACCCTACTTGTCATGTTCAACCGTATAAAGAAATATATGTTTGCAATTGGTAGATGCTAAATGTAAAGACCAATACAGCCATTGATATTGAAAATTTGAACTGTCGGTTTCTTAGAAAATCTACTGTGTCTGTATTAGTATGTGCAGGAGGACTGAACTATATACAAAACAAACCCGATAAGACAAACCTGTGGACAAAACAAACTACACAGACCATGCAAGAAATAAACAACAAATATCAAATGAAGTGAATGGATAAGGGGTGTAGCCATTGCCATCCACTGCACAGTACAGTCCTGGGAATATAATAATATAAGCTTCACTCAAAATGAAAAAAAAATTAAAATTTACAAGAAAGATATAATATGATATATATATTGGTAATTTATCTTTATATAACTATATAGTATATGTACCTTGTTTTTACAGCATAGAGGAATGGATTTAGTAGAATGTCTTTCATTTCTCTTTCAACTAAGTTTCTCTACCCTGGGTCAGGTGAGAACAAGTTTGGTTTTCTATTTGTGTTTAATTACTGAAAGGCTTTTCTTTTGATGGGGTCACATATTTCCTTTTATTGACCTGCATTTCCCACCCTATGCTTTACTAGTGCATCAGACACAACTGGCACTTCTGGCAAGTTTCTTAAAAAACATTTATCTGTGATGTTACCCTAGACCCTGGATGGATGGAGATGGTAACCACCAAATCTTTTTCATTTGGTTTTTAAAATACTGTTGAATTTGAACTAGGTTTGTGAATTATTCGTGTAGTGATTGCTGAGATTTGGCCATATATTGTCTAAGATATGGCTTTATATCCAAGAGATCTGGGACGATTTCTAATTTTAACTTAATTCACCAATTATTCACAGAGTTATCGCCTTTGTCTAAGTCGAATATGATTGCCTATTTTGCTTTCTTAATTTTTTTTTAAATATTTGGAATGCAAATGGCTGATTACTCTGATGTATATCTTCAGTATATAGCAAAACTGGCCCAAAAAAGAGCTGTGAGTTTTATATTGGTATTATTTTGTATATAAACAGGATTATTCCACAGATGGTATGAGTGAATCACAGTTAAAGTTTCTACAACATTTGAGGGAATTCGGTCTAGTTTATCAGAGGAAAGTAAGTGAATGATCTGAATAATTAAGAAAACCTATGCCTATGAAACTCATTGTCAAAAATGCTAAAGAATTGTATTTTCCTAGCTCTGCCAACATTTCAAAAAGTTTCTACAGTACTTGTAAATAGTACTTACACGAATAGTGAATTTTGAGATACACATATTTCTATTCTTACTGAAGGTGATAATGCCTCTTTAAAAAATGGACACTGAAAACTACAAAACTGGATATGTGGTTTTACCCATTGATTGACATAATCAATTTTCATTTTTCAGAGGAAATCTCAGCGTTATTATCCAACATGTTTAGCTATAAATTTAGCATCCGGTTTGTCCGGTGTATCTTCTGATCAAGAGAAAGTAGGATTTATTATTGTAGAAACCAACTACAGAATATATGCCTATACAGGTAGGTTTATTCTTACTGAATGACTCATCTTCTCTTCACAGATATGATTACATCAGTTCTCAAGACATTTTGTTATGTTTACTAACACACTCAATCACTTCTTCAATAAATATGTTAATGTTACAATTTCATATTTTCTAAGAAAGTCAAAACATAATTATTTCTATGTCTTTTGCTCAATAGGTTGTCAACTCACTATTATAGGATCATAGGTTATCTTTCTCACACTTAAACATCTTCACACCGGAAATAATAACACAATTACCTCCCAATTAACGCCCTTGTTTTCCTATTCCCCACCATGGAATAGCTATCTTCAAATGTTTGAATTTGAAGTTGAAAATTATATTTTTGCCAATTTCTCAACTGGCAATAGTGAATTATAGGATTAATAGGTTTATTCTTTAACAAGGTAGAACTGTTTATAGACACCATTTATTTTAGGGCTTTATTTTAATACATTTTTATAATATAACTTAAAAATATGAAATTGTAACTTTAAGTAATCCATTGTAAACTTGTTTACTCTTATATACTATTGTTTGTTGTGTTACTGTAACTTGTAGAAGACTTTTGGTTGAAATTTAGCAGTCTGGCTCAAAACTGATTGTCCCATGTTAACTAAACCATTGCATTTCATTATTACTGCCCTGTAGAAAGTACAGGACTATTACTATGTGTGAGCCTGTCCAGCTCACTTTTTTGGAAAACAATAGCTCTCTTTCTAATTGAAGTAGAATGCTCACACTTGGTATTGATATTCATTAGGTGATTATCTTGACCAAGTTTGAAAATGAACATATTCACCATAACAAAGTGACAAGCAAATTGTACTTGATGATTTGTAAATATAAAAATGTGCAAGTAATGAATCAGTGTCATCTATTTATTTTGGGTTTGAGGTGGGGGACATCAGCCTCACTATTGGCTTGTTTATATTTTAGATTCCCCGCTAAAGATTGCTTTATTAGCCATTTTCTGTGATATGTTATATAGGTAAGTTGTATAATTTTATAAATCCTTTCAGATTTTAACAACACAAAACAATCCTAGGTGAGGCCAAACAAAGTTTTTCTTTTAAAATGGATTGTTTTTTAATGATTCCCTTTTTACTTTTATTTCATTTCTATTTCCAGAATGATTTTCAATATAAAATAATATTTATATATGTATGGACAACAAAGCTTCTCATAAGCATATTATTTTGCCAGGCAAGCTATCTATTTAAATGGTTATTAGATGTTTTTGTTTTTACGTTCATATTTAGATTTCCAACCATGACAGTGTGTAATTTAAGTCGAACAAGTGTTAGGGAAGCTCTTATAAGAGGAATCACAGCAGAACAAGTAAATACAAAGTTTTTATATGTCCACATTTAGGCCACACCAAAATAATATTCTGATTCTCAGATACTGCCATGTCATCAAAAATGGGCACTGAATAACCAACAGTTAAATTGTTATTCTGTAATGATGGCGACAGTTTTGCTGTCAAAATGCCTTTCCTGAGAACTACGACCAAAAGTATTGTTTGTGAGGAGATCGAGGGTGTTGACTTTGATTTAAATCGCCAGAAAAATCCATGTATGACAATCGGTAAGGTATTGATACCACGTAATAATGGTCGCCAAAACAAAATCTGACAGTTTTGAAATCATTTTTCCCAGGAGGTAAATTTGATTAAGTCACAGAATTATTCAGTCATTATTTCAAAATCTTATTTATCTTTTGTTTTCCTTATTAAGCGTTGAATAAATATTAAATGTGTTTCTTAAAAAAAACAAAATGCTAGATTTTGACAAAATAAAAAACATTTTATTTTTAAATCTGCGAGTTAGTTCATTTTGGTAATAAAGTCCTCTATAAATATCCATTTACTTCCTGTCAGCCACCTGTTTTACTGAACATGATATAAGTTTTTGGTATAATTTTTCAAACTCTGTGGATTGTTCATTAGGGTGTAAGGAAGAACCCTATTAATTTTCAAGATCTCCTGTTTATGAAATATTATTTGAGATATAGATCAAAGTTCTTCACTTGAATTCTTTTTAATTTAGGTGGATTGCGTTATTGGGGTTTGTTGGCAATCATTTTTAGAGCTAGTATCAATAATTTGCTGCTGGTGGGTGTCTGAGGGGGCCTGACAACCCGATTCATTATTATATTTGCTTGAGCTTTTTGGTAAACTAAACTACTCATGCTATTGTGATTGAGATGACAGTAATGTTTCACTGAATTTTGAAAATAAATGCTTGATTTAACATTTTACAAACAATAAGACAAAATTTTGTTGACAGAGTGTTATATCGTTGTATTGTTATATAGCTTGTCTACTTTCAGATACTGAATTTTCTGCGATCTCATGCCCATCCTAAAATGTTAGCCACAGTAAGTTATTTATATGAAAACATGTTGGTTTTCCTACTTTTAGTTTACTCATATGCTGTGACCTATTTTAGTTTTTATATGCTAACATTTTCTTATAGACGTATATTGTCATCGTTCCTGTCCATCAAGACATACAACAGGTCACAATTTTAATCCGATTTTGACAAAACTTTAAATACAGACATAGGTTTATTCCCAAAGATCTTGGTTCTGTTCGATATTGGCATGTATCGGACAGTAACTTCATGGATTATGGCTCCTGATTGGGCTGACCTTAAAAATATCTTTGTTTCGCCTAACGCGACCGACTAACTAAAACCACCCCCGACTTAAATTATTTTATTGCACTTTTCCGCGATCTTTTTATTTTATTTTGTGTGTCAACCTGAAATATATCACAAGAGTTATTTCCCTTTACTATGGCTATGGTTTGATTCATTATTGAAACTGGTTGATCAAGACGAAAGCGTCATAGGTGTCGCTTCTCAACAAAATGGTTGCAGACGAAAGCACGTCCATTCCCACGAAATGATTCTGCCTCTATGTCTGTGGGGCGTCGTTTTAAACATGACGACGATATTTTCAATATCCGTTTTCGAGAAAAATGAAGGCACAACCCGCACGATCGTTAAAAACGTGTTGAGGGAGTTTCAAACGTGAGTTTGTGGCAATTTGTGTTCGAGTCGTGCATCAAGAAAAATCCCGATGTCATTGATTTGTTTGCCAATAAAAGAAGACGAATGTTTGCACCCGAAAAATTATCAAGCTGTCAAATTAGCTCTTAAAAAAAAAATCTGAAAAAAAAACCGACCTACCGACCCTTCTCCTCGATTGTGGGTCGGGTTTGGTGAAACAAAGATATTTTTAAGGTCAGCCTTGTATGAAAAATCTTTTTTACTTGTTCTCTCTCCATCTCTAGCAAAATGTGGGCGTGTCTTGCATGGTAACCACTTGTTGTTGTTTCTTATACTTAGTCTATATATTTATAAACAAATTGAAGTCCAGTCGATTTTCAGTACATAGTGCTCTGAAATAGTCATTCTTTTGACACTACACAAAATGAAAAATTGCAAAATAAAAGGTCAATTATTATCTTCAGAATGCATATTAGATACATTGTTTGTGTATATTAGATCAGTTTAAGAACCCTTAGGGAAGGTATAAAGCTGGGTTTAATACTAATAAACATTAAACAAAGATGAAACAAGTTTATATTTCTTCGTAAATATAGTTGTCTCCCTTCTAATTGTGTTATTTCAGGCACCAGTATTACCTCCGACTATAACAGATCAAGTTAGATTATGGGAATTAGAACGTGATAGGTTAAAGTTTGATGATGGCGTATTATATAGTCAGTTTAACTCACAGTCAGATTACGAACTACTCAGTGATTATGCCAAGGTATGAACAATACATATACATTAAGGCTATACTCAATCACAACAGCCTAATATATCTCTTCTTTAATAGACTACAACAAATATCGGAAAGTATGATATATGTAAAGACCATGATAAGCAAATTACTCGCAATAAATTAAACATGTTAACATTTGTAGATCGTTCCACAAAAGTTTCCCTTGAAGTTACTCAAAAGATATTATGTCTTTTTGTAACAAATGTATGTGAAGCAAATTTTTCAAAATGGCATAATGGCTTAAATATAATCAATGATAACATTTTCTGACACAGAATTACAGAGAATTATGATTTAATTTTGTTTTATTATTGATTTCAGGATTTAGGAGTGTTAGTGTTTGAAAATGCGTCTAAGAGAGTAATGGTTGTAACAAGATCAGGACATGATGATGTTAAAAAATTCTGGAAAAGACAGAAAAACAGCTGAGAAGAACAAATATAGTGTATGGATGTTACTACACATTGTATCAAAATATTACTTACAAATCACCCAGTGACACATGGTAATCACTAACAAAGGCGCTGCTAGTAATATTAAATGTATGAGCAGCAGTCCTGTTACATACAGGCAATTAATTGGTCCAACAAATTGGCTACTGTATCCAAGCGTTAAGTAATTGTAATTTTATAATATATTTATAAAGTGCTCGAACACCAACAACCATATGCTGTTCAATGGCGCTGTTATGTTTTGTACAATCAAAACACCCCACAAGAAGCAAAGTCTATTACAGAAAATAAATCAACAACTTAAAGATACATTATGGGAGATTAGACAAAGAGCAGGCAGTTCTCACTATAATAGTTAAAAACTAGATAATGTAAAGGCAATTTGCTGAAAATTTCAGTCAAATTGATCCACTCTGAACCAAGATTTTAGCAATTGAATTTTTGTCCTTGTCTCGATCATCATTACTAAAGTCGGTACGATAAAAACATAGTCTCGATTATACATTTCATGATTAAATTATGAATGGAAGTCGAACAGCAAATCGGAACCTAATCCAATAAACATCGCAGGCTAGCGATGGCATCAAGAGTTGATTATGGTCTGGATAAGCTAATTAATGCTTAATTAAAAATTTAGATAACATTTCAGGCCTAAAGAAAGACCTGCAATAGGCGATAATTAGCTTTTGCATAATGTATGTTTAAAGAGTGTTTGTTGTGGTTGAACCATCAGTATGGTTAAGATTTGTGGTAAATAATCATAAATACATAAAATCAAACTCCAATACAAATATTAAAAATGTGTTTCCTAAAGCATAATTGTCTTGTCTGTTGGACCTTCTAAACTCTTTTGTATCTGAAAGTATATATTTTGTAATGCTCAGGAAGAATCAAATCTTTTAATCAAATTGTTTAATAAGTGACAAATTAATTAAAACACTTGATTATTACAGTTTGTCAACAACTAATTGCTATGTCAGGGGCGTGCATTACCCACACCTTACTGTAGGTTTGAAAGTGTAATAGGTATGAGTGGCAGGTATGTTAAAATTTATAGATTGTTAGAAATCTTTCATTGTTACCTATTTAAGCTTACGACCGGCAAGGATATGTCTTTAACAATATTTTAGTAACTGCATTTATTTGTATCAGGCATTTGTTGTTGTTCACTTCATATCCAATGGTTTCCATTTAGTTTTAAAGAAGAAGCATTTGATTTCTAACATTTTAGAACTTCGTAAAAATTGTTTAGAATTAAATTTTGTTTTGATGCTTACAAGAATTTAGACATACAGTATGTTCACTGATTACTGTTAGATTCTAGACCTTGCATTCAAAGCTGCTCTTCTTCAAAACTAAATAGTAAATGGTTCCAACTGATCATCAAGTATTGTTTTGTTATCTTGTAAAAAGAAACGTTTGTATATATATTTTGTAAATAAACTTGTTTATACCGACCTACTAAAGATTTGTTTTTAATATGTGCATATTTAAAGCTGAACTCCGATTACAAAACTACAGAAATAATCAAATAAAAAAAATTAACATCCTAAATAACCGCCATACTTGTTTTTAAGTTGTAGAACAATCATGAGGATTGTACAGCGTACAAAAACAGAGGCAGGACAAGCCCACATCCAGTTCACGCCTTTTCAACCACACTGTCTTACCCCAAACAATAACAAATCTATGAACACCAACCAGTGCTATGTTGTTGACATAACATCAAGGGACATAACTACTTCACAAGATGGTGAATATTTTGAAGTGTTAACATACTACTTTGATTAAGAGAACAACAGTTTTATTGCTGCTTTGGATATATTTTGGAACGATAATACTAGACTTGATAATACTAGAAATTATTTGGTGTTTCAATGTTGCTGTACAAAACATTTCAAGGAATAAGAAAAAAATTGTTGACGTTGGTAGATTTGTTATTGTTTGGGGTAAGGCAGTTTTTCTCATATTTTTAGTGCAAAAGTACACCATGGTTTACTTATTTCGTCTAATTAGTAAAATAATATGTACCTGATCAGACATAATAATTGAGTAGCAATAATATTTTCAGTAAACTGATAGTGAAAAACGTCAATCAGTAAGCTGAAATATTGCTAGCCGGATGTGGACAGCGTGGTTGACAAGGCTTGAACTGGATGTGGGCGTGGCCTGCCTCTGTTTTTGTACGTCGTACAATCGGCATGATTGTTCTACAACTTGAAAACAAGTATGCCGATTATTTAGGGAGTTAAACATGCATTATGCATGAGCAAAATATGCTTATTACAAGTCTTTCTTTAGGCCTGAAATGTTATCTAAATTATCAATAAGACATTAACTAACTTATCCAGACCATAATAAACTCTCGATGTCAAGGCTAGCCTTCGATGTTGGCTGGATTAGATTCCTATACGCCGCTAACGGCCGTTGATAATTATATAAATAAAGGTGGATAATCGAGACTTGCTGTTTATATTAATGATTTAAGTAATGATGACCGAGACTATGCCAAAATTTCACGAGCTTCTTTCTCGGCTCATGGTGGATCAATTTGACTGAAATTTTCAGCAAATTACCTTTACACTATCTAGTTTTTAACTATTATAGCGAGAAATGCCATCTCGTTATCTTATCTCCCATAATGTATCTTTAATTGTTTTTATTTAATTATTTCTGTAGTTTTGTAATCGGAGTTCAGCTTTAATGTGGAATGTATGTTGTATATTATAACCGTTAAATGGATAGACCTTTCGATTATAGTCAAGAATAAAAATTGTGGATTTTATTGGATTTCATATATTGCTTTGTGTTTTGGGGTGAAATGCACGTTAATGACAGTGTTTAGTTATAATTAATAAAACTAAAATTAGTTAACAAGTCGATACCAAAACAAACATTTAATCATGTAGAACTACCTCTCCACTAATTGATAAAACACATCAGATCTATTCAATACTTTATTTTCACCTAAAGCAGTTTATCTCCTTTTATCTATCTATAATTTGGTCACGAGGAAGCCATTTCACTATTAAACCACTGAGTTATATTTATACGCCCAGACTTTCTGGTGAAGTGTAGGTATTATCCCCCCCCACTCTGCCTTAAATCTGGTCTGCCCTCTGTTTGTCCCCCAATATTAAAAAATAAAATATTTCTGAAATGTTTCGGTACTGAATCACTTCAGCGGTGATTAAATCCCACACTCCCACTCTGTCATAGCAGTAGACTTGTATGTTGTAGAGTCTGACGCGGCGAGATATTCATTCACTTTTGATTCACTCATGTCGTTCTTTTTTGGGGAGCCACAGTGGCTAGGTGGTTAAGACGCTGGAGGTCGGGTGTTCGATCCCTGCATTGGCAGAGAAAGTTCATCTGGATTTTCCGAGGTGGTTTCCCCTTGTCAGTGGTGCAGAACGGAGGGCCTGACAAGGACAGCTGTCTAGTCCTTCGGATGATACGAAAAACCGAGGTCCCGTGTATACATTGGAATGCACGTAAAAGATCCCTTGGCAGTTGGAATTCGATATAAGAGTAGGCGATAGTGCCGCTGCCCAGGCAAAATTTCCCTCATAGCACACAGTATGGCGTATGCCCGTCTTCATTAGCCCAGTATAGGAGCAGTACAGTAGGACGTTAAACCCCATTTCATTTTGACACTTTCCCCTCTGGTCAGATATGTTGGTGATTATCCTACAGGCGCAGTGATGGGATTTCAAAACTTTTCCGGAAAATAAAGGGGCATAACTCTTATCGTTTAGGAGGCAGACCACCATTAAATTTCATCATCGTCTATTTATAGCAATTCTCTCTCTCTCTCTTTTCTCCCCTTTTGCATGCCCATTTGTGTTGATTTTTTGGTCTAGAATGGATGAAGAGGGTTTGAATTAACATTTTCTGCCAGGTTTTGGTAAATATTCATGATTTTGAGGCGGAAGGATAAGAGGGTTATCAGGTTAGCTACGGCGATATGTACGGCAACTAGTTACATGTTTTTAGTATGCTTCTTCAAGTTTGTGTATCTCAAAATTTTGGTGGTCAACCTCATACAAATTTTAGTGCAAAGACATGACCATTTGTTCCTCTGTCTGTAGTGGAAAGCATTCAGCCCAACGAAAATTTGGGGAAAAGTTGGAGGTGGGCAAATTGGCCAGAATTAACATTGAAGTCAATGGGGAAATTAATGGTGGTCTGCCTCCAATTAAGGACCCAGACTAGCAATTATTTGCCCATTGACTTCAATGTTAAATGGCTGTAACATCACAGGCTGTAGCTTTTTTCTCAACAATCCGTTGGTTCCAATCTTTATAGGCACAATGGGGACAACATTTGGCAATCTCCTCATCATAATTTTGTAGGGGGGTTGACCATTTAGATTTTTTGCTACACGGATTTGAAGTTGACTGGGGTGAAAATCTCACTTCCGACACAATGATTGCTCTGCAGAAAGACACTTTACACCCCCTATCCCAATCTGTTTCACAGAGAATTACGAGTCTCGTATAATATCTCTGTCATAGATGACTGCCTTAACACGTGCTGTCACAGCACGCGGTGTGAATCATTGGCTGAATGGCGCGTGCATTGTTTACATAAGACATAACTGCTTCGGAGAGAATGCTGCATTTTAGTCAATTTAATACCCATTTACACTAAATCGGAAATAATTTTTACCTACAAATACGTCAAACGCCTTAATTTATTTTTCCAATATATACAAAAAATGTTTTAGAATTTAATTTGTCGCAGGAAAAAAGTTAATATTTCTAGCTCATTAAGCCGCATCAATGTCATCCTTATCAGTGATTGTCGCGGCCAAGCAAATATTCACTGCGGATCAGTGTGCCCCTATCCCTCCGCTGTAATATCATCAGTATTACCCAAAACTGCTATGAAATTGCAAATTTGATCCCTTTTCTCCAATTCTAGACCAAAAAGTCAACCCAAAAATGCAGGAAGAGGGGAGAAAAAAATTAAGGGAAAAATTGTCTATTTATAACTCGCACTCCACCGTCCCTTATAATAACTTTTCAACTTCAACTGAATTATCAGTGAAATGAAATTCGATCGTTTTGTCTGTTATCGCTAGTTACTTCAATCAGATATATAGAAGGATAACTCGTGTTTGTCATCACTTCCCGTTTCTTCACGTGCTTGTTACACATCTCCCGTAACAATGATCTCTGTGTTAAAATTATATTTGGAATGTATTTAACCAGTTCTCTCACATATTTTATAATGACTGACACCAATATTGTCCTTTAAGAATTAACCCAGGGTATAGTGGAGTAGAACGGAATGAGTACACTGCATGGGGATACCGAGGATGAACCTACCTCAGCCGATAGACTAAAACTAGCCGTCTGGCACAGATCAAATGCCAATTGTTTCCATCATCTTTATATATACCTCCGCAATTACCAAGGGTAGCTAACCACAGCGGCTCGAGGTGAAGGAAATGTAGTTACCTGCCGTACACATCGGTCAACACTCTGTTATTTTACATTTAATTGGGTACAGTTGAAACTAGGTCAGCGTACTTGTGTTTTTAACCAAACAGTGACATCTGGGGACAGTGGGCACTGATCTAATTTCGGAGCTTTATAATTCGAGTTAGTAGGGAACTGACTTTTCGGAGACATATTCCACATTGTCAGGTTTTGCACCCCGAGGTTGTTCCACACTCGTTAGCGTTAGAAATAATCTTGGCATAGGAGACTTTCAGTGAAATTAAAGATACATTATGGGAGATTTTAATAGAGAGTTGGCCGTTCTTGCTATAACAGTTCAAAACTAGATGATAAAAGAAGAATATATTGAAAATTTCAGTCAAATATCTTTATTCTGACCAAAGTTATCACCATTGTAATTTTTGACTAGAAATAGGAGTCAAACCCCTCTTCACCGTCTACGAGAATGCAGGCCGTTTGATTGACAGGCGTACGTTAACTCCACCTACATCATCTCGATTATCAAGTAACGTTTTCAATTCGTATCACATTTATTTTTACTACAAGTTAAAAATAGGACTTTTATTATATAGATAAGAAGCGAAAGTTTTAAAGGAATGGACCAAATCAATGAGGCATAATTATAGCCGACTTCTTCAATCTTATTAGCCTGCGTGTACTCCCGAAGCCGACAAATTGAAATAGGAAACATTGATCCAATGGGGCTGCATGGGCTGCGATATTTATCAATTTCCATAATTTTTCTGTAAACGCAAGTGACAAAAGAGTGTATAATACTGACATCCAAACTCATTTTAACCACAAATAAACATAATATCAAGGCCGTATATATCGAACTTTCAATCAAATATGCGGCCTGGCTCAACAGCGGCCTCGCTTCGTACACTCTATAATTCAGCCTTGATCTAAAATTTCCCGGAGTATGACGTCAACGTAGGCCTAACGGTTAATCTCAGCTTACGACGCCATTTAAAAATTTAATCAATCAATGAAATCCTGTTTAAATCCAA